TTCCATCTACAGAAGGTACTCTTCACACTACCAAAAGACTAACGGGAATTATAGGGCAGATCTCACATACCTGTGGCACTGATCACCCTTTGGGGCATGGTCAGTGCTGCAAGTATGTGAGATCATCCCTACAATAATGTATCAAAACATACAGAAAGCCTATGATCTACAGTGATGTTCTGTCTGTAAGATAAGTTAATGCAATGATAGTGAAAAGCTTGTGGGAATAACCAATCAATATCTGATTTGAATTAAGGTCTACTCTACAAATTGGAACCAGTACCTGACACTGTTTAGGTGACCAAGAACCAGAGATTAGATAGTTCAAGGACCTAGAGTACAACCAAATAAAACTGTAGTAAAATAAAATAAAATTAGTGGGAGAAAATCTTTTCAATAAAGGGGAAAAGGAATTCAAAGTATCATTATTTTCAGATGATATGATACTCTATTTAAAAGACTCTGAAGACTTCATCAGAAATCTCCTACAGCTTATAAAAACATTCAGAAAACAGAAGAATAAAAACGCAATACATAAAAGTCAGTAGATTTCTTTATTATGGTAGTTTCTCTGAAAATTGGGAATCAATCTATCTCAAGACCCAGTGACACCACTCTTGGGGATATATACCCAAAGGATGCTCAATCATACCAAGGACAATTGCTCAACTATGTTCTTAGCAGCATTATTCATAATCGCTAGAACCTGGAAACAACCTAAATGTCCCTCAACTGAAAATGGAAAAAAAAATGTGGTACATCTACCCAAGTGTATTACTCAGTGGAAAACAACAACAAAATAAAAAACAATTTGTAAGCAAATGAATGGAACTAGAAAATGTCATCCTGAGTGAGGTAATGCAGAGCCAGAAAGATAAATATGGTTTGTACTCATACATAAGTGGATATTAGATGTAAAGCAAAAGATAACCAAGCTAAAATCCTCAGCACGAGAGAAGCTAAGTAATGAGGACTTTCAGAAGCATACATGGATCTCCCTAGGAAGACGAAATAGATGAGATGTCCTAGGTAAACTGGGGGTGGGGGGGAAAAGGGTAGGGAATATGGGGATAGGAACATGAGGGATAAGATGGGCAGAGTTAGGGACAGAACATATGGGGAGAGTAATGAAAGAGATATCTATTTGTTTGTTTGTTCAAGATAGGGTTTCTCTGTGGCTTTGGAGGCTGCCCTGGAACTAGCTCTTGTAGACCAGGGGGCCATTATGGGGTTAAGAACAAACCTGGGGCCAGAGAAACACCTAGCAATCCAGAAGGATGACCCTAGCTAAGATTCCTAGCAATAGTGGAGAGGTTGCCTGAACTGGCCTTCCTCTGTAATCAGACTGGTGACTGCCCTAATTGTCATCACAGAGCCTTCATCCAGTACCTGATGGAAGCAAATGCAAAGATCCACAGCCAAGCTCTGTGCTGAGCTCTAGGAGTCCAGTTGAAAAGAGGGAGGAGGGATATATGAGCAAGGGATGTCAAGATAATGTTGGGGAAGTCCACAGACAGCTGACCTGAGTTTGTGGGAGCTCACAAACTCTGAATCAACAGCCAAGGAGTAAGCATAAGACTGACCTAGGCCCTCTGCACATGAGTGACAGTTGTGTAGCTTGGTCTTTTGTGTGGCCCCTTAGCAGTGGGCCTACGACCAGTCCCTGATATATGAGTTGGCTCTTTGGAACCTATTCCCTCTAGTGGGATTCCTTATTCAGCCTTGATACAGGTGGTGAGTGGGTAACTTGAAAAGTCATGCTTTGTTGACTCCCAGGGAGGCTTTACCCATTCTGAATAGAGACAGAGGAAGACTGGATGAGGGAGGATAGAACGGAGGTAAGGAGAGGGAACAGGAGGAGAGGAAGGAGGGGAAACTGTGGTTGCTATGTAAAATAAATAAATAAATCAGTAGATTTCCTATATAAAAATGACAAACATATTAAAAATATCAAACACATGAAAGAAATAATCCTAGTCAAAACAGACTAAAAATTACAATGAATGAAATAACCAAGAAAGGAAAATATTTGCACAATGAAAGCTTTAAAACAATGAAAGAACTTGAAGAAGATATTAGAAAATGAAAGCCTTCCCAACCTCATGAACTATGAAATACAGAGAGATACAAAAGATGCCAAACACCAGTACTTGGAAAATGTGCATTAATCTTTTCTACCCAGGCAAATCAATGAAACCCTGCCAAATGATGGCATTACCATTGATTATTACCATTTCTATTACCACAATTCATGGCATTACCTTATTTTTGGATTAACTTTAAAGCTCTCAAACTAACTTCCACTGATTGGTGTCATTTGCTCCATGCCTTGGTGTAACAATAGTACAGACACCATCCACTATCCTTAACATGAAAAATCAGTCATATAAACACTATTTTAGGTTCTGAAGCCTCATAGCTTTTCAACAAGTTTCCAAGGCTTCAGTATTATCAATCTTATGTAGCTAGTTCAGTTCAGTATTATACAGAAAGCCTGTGATAAAAACTGAAGTCCAAATGGATCAAAGACCTCAACATAAATCCAGCCACACTGAACCTCTTAGAAGAGAAAGTGGGAGGTACTCTTAAATGAATTGGTACAGGAGACTGCTTCCTGAACATAACTCCAGTAGCACAGACACTGAGATCGACAATTAATAAATCAGATCTCCTGAAACCGAGAAGCTTCTGTAAGGCAAAGAACATATTCAACAAGACAAAAAGGCAGCCCTCAGAATGGTAAAAGATATTTACTAAGCCCACATCTTACTGAGGGCTGATCTACAAAATTTACAAAGAACTCAAGAAGCAAGTCTCCAAAACACCAAAGGATCCAACTAAAAAGTGGAGTACAGAACTAAATAGATAATTCATAATAGAGGAGTCTAAAATGGCTGAGAGACACTTAAGAAAGTGCTCAACATCCCTAGCCATCAGGGAAATGCAAATCAAAACAACTCTGAGATACCATCTTACTCCTGTCAGAATGACTAAAATCAAAAAACCAACGATAGTTTATGCTGGAGAGGATGTGGAGAAAGGGGAACACTCCTCCACTGCTGGTGGGAGTGCCAATTTGTACAGCTACTTTGGAAATCAATATGGAGATTCCTCAGGAAAATGGGAATCAGTCTAGCACAAGACCCAGCAATTCCACTCTAAAGCATATACCCAAAAGATGCACATTCATACAACAAGGACGTCTGTTCCACTATATTCATAGCAGCATTATTTGTAATAGCCAGAACCTGGAAGCAACCTAGATGCCCCTCAAATGAAGAGTGGGTAGAGAAAATGTGGTACGTTTACACAATGGAGTACTATTCAGCGGGAAAACAATGGAATCTTGAAATTTTCAGGCAAATGGATGGCACTAGAAGAAACCATCCTGAGTGAGGTAATCCAGAGACAAAAAGACAAACATGGTATGTACTCATTCATATATGGGTTTTAGACATGGATCAGGAGAGTGTCATCATACAATCCCACCGCCAGAGTCTGGAAAACAGATCCTTCATCCAGTGATTGATGGAAGCAGAGGCAGACACCCACAACTAAACACTGAAATGAATTCCTGGAATTCAGTGAAGAGAGGGAGGAGTGATGAGCAATGGGGTCAAGATTGGGCTGGTTTAACCACAGAAACAGCTGACCTGAACAAGGGGGAGCTCTTGGATCCCAGACTGATGTCTGGGAGCCCAGTGTAGGAATGATCCAGACCCGCTGAAAGTGGGTGCCAGTAAGGAGACCTGGGCAATCTATGGGGCCTTGGATAGTAGATCGGTATTTATACCTGGCATACAAATGGACTTTGAGTGCCCAGCCCACAATGAGGGATGCTCTCTCAGCCTGGACTCTTGAGGGAGGGCCTAGACCCTGCCTGAAGGAAACTACAGACTCTGGAGGTCCCCATGGAAGGCTTTACCCTGCCTGGGGAACGGAGTGGGGATTGGGGGGGGGTGTTAGGGAGCATAGTGGATATCCGGGGAGGAGGGGTGGGAGAGGAAGCTGGGATTGACATGTGAAGCAAGCTTGTTTCTATTTTAAATTAAAAGAAAAAATGCTACAGGAACCTGAGGCATCCAGAGACCCAAGTACTTGCCTATGCTTACCTATTGACTAAGTGCTTCAGACAGGCTGATGCCTGATGCTCCTCCCACTCTACCATGTTATATAGCTGCTTGGTGACAGGAGAGGGGCCAGGAGGAAATGAACCTTTCCCTTACTGTAAAATACAATGGTGACACCTGGCTTACTTTATTGCATGTTTTTTTTTCTTTTTTTCTTATTTATGGAAAGAATCCTCACTGCTTTGTAAATTGGATGCATGATGGGTAATTCAATAAATATATCCAAAAGAGGAAGAAAAAAAAAAAAAGAAAGCCCGTGATCAATTGTGTTTTCCCATAATGGATGCCAAGGGGTCATTATCTTAGGCTGAAAGAAGACAGCTGACCTATAATGCAGACACTAGTTAATGGCAAATTACTTTCTAGCTACCTGAATTTGGTGTTATGTGTTTCTTGTAAAATTATGCTCCGGAAAGCTAGGCCCTGGGAACCGTTACTAAATTAAGGAGTGCTACAGAAAGTACTTGACCCAAAAGTGATTCATCACAGATCTTTCCCTACCCGGGAAATGTGCAAGCAAGTACAAGGATCAAAGGAATCTGACAAGTTTGCCTCTGACTGCTTCCATCCTAAACAGAAAAGGAGGGTAAGATGGCTGAGTGACACACTTTTATCTCTTGGTGATTTTACCATCTTTCAAATGTGTATAAGATTCTCAGTGACTCACATCTAAATCTGTTGAATAAGAAGGCTCAGGATTGGGATTTGTGAGAAAAGCTCTGTTTTTGTGGGTTTTTTTTCCTGGAAACGACATTGGTAACAGGAAATAAACTGTTCTAGTGGACAAGCTGGGGAAATCGAAAGCTATGAACACTGCTGGGTGGAGTCCTATTTCATCACAAGTCTCCCCAGGGAGACAGCACAGCGTAAGACATTAAGCACTGTTCAAGTTAGGAACTTACTTTAACCAGTTTCCTTGTCTTCCCTGTTATTTTGTAAATACTACATTTTCTCAGCATCTAATGACATACCAAAATCCCAGTGTGTACATTTTGAGAGGTTTTTCTGAGGATCTACAATCTAAACATTGCTGAAAGAATTTCCAGGGAGGTAAGTCCTGCCCTTATATAAGGAATAGATAGCTCTGTGAAACCCGAAAGGACAGGGGGATCAGTAGTGGTTCTTCCAGAGGAGAGTGGGGGAGAAGGGATGGTTCTATTTGCATTAAGGACAGTGAAACCCTGTAGCTAGTTTCTATTGATTCATGCAGGGAGATGGAAGACATCATTATTCTTCTATCTCTGGGGTTTGAGGCAAGAAAAGATGCATTTTGATTGTTGCAGGCTGTTAAATAAACTTCCTAAGTATGAGTAAATAGAAAAGGATGAGAAGTTTTAGTTATCTTGGCTGGAGGATTAGCCAAAACCTGGTGGCTGTGGCCTGTGACTGAGTAAAGGACAAGGCAGTGAGAGCAAAAATTGCCATAAAATAATATCAAGTGGAAAATAATTTGCACATGGAGCTGTGTTATCTAGTAATGTCCTAACAATACACAGCATGAAAGCCAGTGGACATGTATAGTAAAAATTTTCCAAGATTTGAAAACATAGTTACGCAAATACATCCTGTTTTATTAAGCATACTTAATACTTTTTTCTCCTCTCCACACAAGACAGTAAAAATTAAATTTAGTCACTGGGAGAAACTCTCTGTCATCATGAAAGTTGTTCTTTTTCATTGGTTATATTTTACTAGTTTTGGGATTTTGTCATAAGATGTAAGGGATGTAAAGGATAGATAAATAGAAATATATTCCTACTGTTTGTTTTAAAGGCTTTCTTGTCCTACTCTCTTAGTACTCCATGTGCATTTGGACTACATAACTTAATAGTCAGTTTGAGAGTTGTACCTGTGTTAGACCCATCTTGCAACATTTATCAGTTATGCTGCTCAAACTTTCTAGATTTTCTATGGATGTTTTCACCTTATTCATTCAGTAACTAATACATTGTTGTACTGACCACAAAACTGTGACTTCTCCTTTTGATTTTTTCAAATTCATGGATATGTGTGCTCTCACAGACATTGAATGTATACAATGCATGTGTGTGTGGATATGTACACTTGTATCAAAATATATTCCATGATTTTACAGAGATGTGAAGGAACAAAATAATAACAAAAGCATGTACAATCATTAGTAGATAAACCCACAGTTAAAACTATTACCTCCTTCTAGGATGGGAAAACTTACCATACTTTGGTATTTGATAAGAATTTCTGCATTCAATACTGTTAAAGCTCCACTGATGAAGATAAACAGGATTGCCTTTGTTTCTAGTTCATTTGGGATTTTTTCCACTGTTAAAGAATGTTTGGTTAACAACCTAGGAGTACATTTCTTAAATAATATTTCACAAAAGCTGTTATTGGACTGGTTAGATTTTTGTTATGGTCTGGTAATCAGCAGGTTTTTGTTCTGCTTCTGTTCCCATCACTTCACTGTAGAATGCCTCTATCTTGCACCAGAAAATGTGTATGTCCTCTTTCATCTGCTCCTCAACCATGTTATGTACTTACTCTTCCGCATTTTTAAAAATTAAGTATTTTTTCTATCAGGTCTTTATGTGTGCCTTATAAGGTTTGCAGTTTTCATTAAGGAAGAACTGTATTTGCTTTCTTTCATTTTTTTTTCTTTTTTTCTTTATTTTAATTTTAAATAGCTTGTTTTACATGTCAATCCCAGTTTCCTCTCCCTCCCCTCCTCCTACACTTCCCCATCCCCCCCCCATCCTCCCACCCTATTGCCAATTCCTTCCACATAGGGGATATCTAGAGTCTGTCATTTCACTCAGGATAGGGTCAAGGCACTCCCCTCAGAGACCAGGCAGAGAGAGCAACCCTCTTTGTGTTATGGACACACGATGTCTGTTAGTATTCGAGGGATAAACACTGAACCACTGCTCAGGACCCCATAGGTAGCTCAGGCCTCCTCACTGACACTCACATTCAGGGGGTCTGGATCGGTCTCATGCTGGCCTCCCAGCTGTCGGTCTGGGGGTCCAAGAGCTCTCCCCTGTTCGGATTAGCTGTCTCTGCTGGTTTTGCCAGCCCATTCTTTGAACACACTGCATTTTGCTCATATTCACCTCCTCCCACAACTCCTTTCAGATACATACCCATCAGAGTTTATATCTTCCTTTATCTTTAAAACTCACCAAGTACAGTTTGTGCTCAACCAATTATGGGGCCTGCCCCATGCCCTCCCAGCAACTATCAAGTTCCAAAAACCCCTTAGCTGGCTATGAGACTTTGTGTCCACCCCCTCTCACTTCATGCTGGGATTTTGTCCAGCTTAAACTTATGATGCTGCCACAACTGCTCTGAGCTCCTGTGTTCACACACGTCCAGCTGTGTTTGGCAAACACCGTGCCCCTGTAGTCATTCACCACCTCTGGCTCTTAAGTTATTTCTTCCTGGTCTTTTTCAAGGATTCCCACAAAGAAGGTAAGATTGGTGATTACTTTACTCTGTTGGTAGCATGCATAGCACCTTCCAATACTGTAGTGGGAATGTAGTTTCAAGGTCAGTACCAGCTGATGGCTCTATGATCTATGACTCATATATATGATGCCTCTATCATGTTCTGGAAGGGAACCAAGACCACTGGCACTAGCTTGGTGTGTGTGTGTGTGTGTGTGTGTGTGTGTGTGTGTGTGTGTGTGTTTTCATGGGGATGTTAAGTGGCCTCAGCAATCAACAACTCCAAAGTAATCTATTCCTGACTTAGGATTTTTGTTTGTTGGTTACAGGTTTCTAGTAGAATCATTGTTACTCATTAAATGGAGCATAATTCCATTTAAACACTTTCTTATATGAATATGCATTTATTTTATAAAGTATATACAGTAGTAGTTTCCATTTGACATTTTGAAAGATCTTTAGAATTAGCTATTCTAATTACATATTCCCTCCAATATTCTGCCCCCATATTCTCCAGCTGTACTTAACCATTCTCACTTGAAAGCATCACTCTTAAATCATAGTTTTCCTTCATTGTTCCCCAAGGTCTCACGCCAATACAGTTCAAAATCCTATATTCTTCAAATTTTTCAACACTTTCTAGAAATCCAAAGTCTATAAAATCCTAAACATCCTAAATGTACTTTTAGACTCCAGTAAAATAAAAAGTGAAGCACATACTTTCTAATTCCAAAAGGGAAGGATCTGGACATCAGAAGAGTAAGATATAGGCAGAAGCAAAATCCAGCGGTATAAATGCAAATTCTGTGGTTCAATGAATTAGGAGGCTCCCATATCACAAAAAAATCTCAAAATTAATACATAGCAGATGCTTCCCCACTTTCCTTAACAGAATAGCACTGTAGAACAAGGTTATTTCAGGACTTGGTCTGACTACAAGTTCAGAACTTTCCATTTTGGGGGTTTCCATATTGTCATTAAATAGTCCCACTACCTATTATGTTTATCCATAAATAATGCAGAGACACTGTGGATTCACTAACTTGGCCACATAAGAATGAACAGCTTCACTATAGACTAAAAAGAAGCAGCTAATGCCAAATTCCTTCCTATTAATTGAAGGCGAATTGTGCAACAATCTGCTTGAACAATCTTCAGACTTAGGAACTATTGAAAAATAAGGAAAAGCTTTAATAAGTGCTTAAACCCAAAGTACTTGCATCAGAGACTGTCCTCAGCCCAGGAAGCACATTCAGTTCTTTGTGGTAATAGACACTGAATTCTCCTCTTGCGTATACACACTGAGTAGAAAAGAAGAAGGGTCTGGGTGGCTCACACTTTCCCATTTAGAAATTACTTTTATTCAAAGGAGTGTGATTCTTACCATGGGTAAATCTGTTGAACAGGAAGGCTTAAGCTTGGAACATCCCAGTATGAAGGAAAATAACTGAGCCCAGTGGACCTTTGTTTCATTGTAGGGAAGTGTATACAATATGGAAACCTTTCTCTCTTTTTTTTGTTTAACTTTTTTTATTACTTTAATTATAAATAGCTTGCTTCGCATGTCAATCCCAGTTCCCTATCCCTCCCCTTCTCCTGCACCCCCCACCATCACCCCCAGCCTACCACCCTATCCCCACTTCCTTCCATGTAGGGGATCTCCAGAGTCTGCCATTTCACTCAGGGCAGGGTCCGGGCACTCCCCTAAGAGTCCAGGCTGAGAGAGCATTCCTCTTTGTCTTATGGACACACAAAGTCCATTTGTATGCCAGGGATAAATACTGATCTACTGCTCAGGGCCCTATAGGTTGCCCAGGCCTCCTCACTGACTCTCACACTCAGGGGGTCAGGATCAGTCCCATGCTGGCCTCCCAGCTATTGGTCTGGGGTCCAAGAGCTCCCCCTTGTTTAGATCAGCTGTCTCTGCTGGTTTCACCAGCCCGTTCTTTGCCAATTTGCTCATAATCTCACTAGCTAGGAGCAACAACAAAAGTTAAGAAAAATAGGAGGAGGCCTCATTTTTTGTCTTCCTCTTCCCAGGGAGAGCACTGTACAAGACACTCAGAGCTGCACAACTTGAAGTAAAGGGAAATGACTCTCAACAGTGTGATTCTTCCTGTCTTTTAAAGCTACTCCCAGTTCTTCAAAGTTCAGGGATTGCAACATCACTGCCCAGACTCTGAGAGATTTATTCATTTATCTTCTTATTCAAACAAAACTATCTCTGCTTCTTGCCTTGGATATAAACTAGGATCAGACATGTTTATTCCATAATTACTGGAGCCTAGCCAACCAAAACACATTTTGGCTATAAAAAAATAGTAAATAGCTTTCTAAGTGTAAGTATGAGGAAATGGAAAACCAAAAGAGAAAAAGGCTTTCGTTATCTTGGCTGGAGATAAGATGGAACTTGTTGGCTTTTGTGGTTGACTGGGTAAAGGTTAGGATAGTGAAATTAAAGGATTACTGTGAAATAGTATTTACTGAAAATATATCAGGACATGGGCTGTACTCTATTATTCTGATATTGCACTGGATGAGAAACAATCGATTATACATAGGTCAAAGCTCCACAGATTCCCACAGTTACTCAAGTCCATCTTTTTTTGAACATCCACAAACATACTTATCATTAACTTTCTTCTCAGCAATATCTCAACTATAGTGAGTTGGTTACTGTTACATTGAAAGTATTTTTTAAATTTTAGCTTGCTTTGAATTGTTTTTTATTTTCTGGTAGAAAATGTTGGGTACTCATGGGACAGTTAATTAGAAATATATGTCTATTGCCTACTTTTAGAATATTTTAAAGGCTTCTTTACAGGTTTTATTTTTTTCTGAGATAAGGCTTCTTGTATTGCTTGGAGCCTGTCCTGGAACTTGCTCTGTAGACAAGGCTGGCCTTGAACTCACAGAGATCCACCTGCCTCTGCCTCCCGTGTTCTGGGATTGAAGGCATGCACCACCAGCGACCAACACTTTAGAGTTTTCAATGTGTACTTGAAGAGAGTGTTTGAGAAGTTGATTGCAGATGTATATTTATTTAAGGATATATCTCTTGCTGTATCATTTATGTTTCTCAAACATCTAAACTTTTTGAAAATGTTTATACATTGTTAATTTACTACTTGAAAAACATACTGCTGTGTCTATCAAAATATTATGTGTTTTCTCAAATTCACAGATAAATATCCTTTCTCACATACACATAAAGAGTATATGTGTGCATCTATGCACATTTGGAACAAAACACATTCTATATTGCTACTTATGGTTCTATGAAGAGACAAAATACTAAGAAATACGATACACCATTATAGGTATACAAATCCATCACTTAAAATATTATCTCTTTATAAGTGTGTGCTCTGGTTGTTTTTTATCATCTTGACCAAAACTAAATTATCTAGAGATACCCGAGTTGAGAAAATGCTTCCTTCAACATTGCCTGTAGGAAAGTTTGTACGGCACATTCTTGATTAATGATTGGTGTGAGTGTGTACCCCATTGGGGGCATGCCATTCCTGTGCAGGTGTTCCTGAATGCTGAACAAGTCACGAGGATCAGCGAGCCATCAGTGTTCCTCATGGCTCCTACTTAGGTTCCTGCCTCTAGGTTCCAGCCTTGAGTTCCTGCTCTGGCTTCCTTCAATAAAAGGCTGTGATGTGGAATGTAAAATGATATGAACCCTTTTCTTCCAAATTGGTTTTAGTCATGGTGTTTTTTCACAGCAATAGAACCTATAACTAAGACAGAATTTGGAACTGGGTTTGTGGGATGTTATTGTGACATACCTGACTGTGTTTTAGGAAGGATTATGAAAGAAATTTGTAACTTTGGGATATAAAAGCTATTGAGTGTTTAGAGATCAATGAACTATTGTGGGAACTTACAAGGTAATGCACAGGGCAGATGATGCAGTTCTGGTTTGAAATTTTCAGAGGAAAAATTGAGAGTCCGCTAAAGAATCTACTGAGGGAGGCCATTGAATATTTTGATTTTCAAATCTATGATCCTGCTCTGCTGGGACTCAAGAATTGGCTGTGATCAAGAAGGGACCAGCACTATTGAGGTATAAACTGGGAAATGTCTTCTCACTGTCAGTACACAGAATTTGAAGTTGTGGTCCACATTGTGACAAGTCCGCACCTTGTGCTGACAACCAAACAAACATTGCAATGTGAAATACTCCCCCTGTTGGTACTGTTTTGGAGGCATGAAGAAGTGATGGGAAATAGCTGAGTCTTGTCACTGTGAAAGACCATGAAAGGTCATTGGTGAAGATACAGCCCAGGTGCATTGGGGACCCCAGAATTTCTGAGATGTTAGTACCATGGGATGTCCACCAAGGATAGAAGCAGGTGAGGAGAGAGGTAGCCTAAGCATAGGAGAAGCACTGTGTGTGCTTGGATGAAAGAGCAGGAGAAATGGAAAAGCCAAGAAGCTTGGAGCCCAGAGAATCTTTCTACACTAGTGAATTTTGATTTTGCTTTCATTTGAATGTAATTATGACCTGGTTTTCCCCTTTTGGAATAAGAATGTATTTAACTTATTGTTTTTCTTTTATTTTGTAAGAGCTCACAGTTGAGATATGCTGAATTTTAAAGACTGTGGAACTTTAGAGAGACTTTGGATATTTCATAGAGGAGGCTTTGAAATTTGCAAGATACTTTAGGCATTTTAAAGAGACAAAATTTAAAGTGTCTAGCTTTTTGGCAGTGAGTCTAAACACATATTAATACCCAGAATCTAGTGGGCATAGATTGAAGCAGGCAGTCTGAGAAAGCAGCCTGAGGATCACCCTTTTGGTCTGAGCATTGATAGAGGTAAAAACTCTGTAGTGACTGGCTGCTTTGCTTATATGATCCTACAATTTTCACCCCCTGATAGTTGACTCTGAGTTTTTACTGTTAAGAACAATTATAATTCATGCTACAAGTAGGTAGAAAAGTGTGTCTTATGACAAATTAGAATCACTGAGTCAAGCCTGAAAGGATAAAATCAAGAAACTACTGACACAGTTCCACCCAATAAATTCTAGAGTGCTGCTCTGAAATGTATGTAGATGTTTGTGAGCACAAAGGATTCAAAGATCACAAGCCCAGGAGAGACAGGATGTTAATGAGTGGGTGTTTCAAGGAAAGCCTAGTGGACAAGGGTCAGTGGCTCAGCATGGACCATGTTACTTCAGTCACTATTCATCCAGGTTCACTGTATTAGGATGGAGTTCATTTGCATGTAGTTCACTTTAGAATGAGAAAAAACAGAAACCCACAGTCAGATATTATGGATGGGCTCCAGCGCCAAATAACGATGGGAAAATGACCCAGAATTTTAACACTCATAGACTAGATTCTAAACACTGCAACAATTACTGATTCCAACACTTTTCTACCACAACTGCCAGTGGCCTAAGTCACCTAGTGTGACTAGTGGGGAAGAATTTCCTAAACTTATAAAACAGAAGTTCTGCATCCATTTTGCACTATGGCACAACTTGTATTTACCTCTGTTTTTCTCACATGCAATTATGGACAATATGGTCAAGTGGGGTCATTAATTCAAACAAGAATATCCTTGTTTTGGAAATGTCTGTATATGTGTGCAAACTTATGTTCATTTTCTTTTTTTAGGCGTGCCCATAATTTCATAGATGATGAATGAATACAAGAAAATTGTTCTCCTAAAAGGATTAGAGGGCATGGATGACTACCATTTTAGGACAATCAAGTCCTTACTAAGAAAAGAACTAAATCTAACTAAAAAATTACAAGATGAATATGACAGAATTCAGGTGGCAGACATGATGGAGGACACATTCTCACATGATGCTGGACTGGACAAATTGATAAAAGTGTGTGAAGGCATAAAAGAACTTGAAGACCTTGCTAAAAAGCTTAAAAAAGAGAAGGCAAAAGGTAACAGGGGAGTACCCAGGACACTCATCCTTTCTCCATGCTCTGCCACCAAAATTTTCTAGCTCCCTGCAGTGAACAGAGCTAATAGGTTTCTTTCCCAATGTATGACGTAGAAAATATAGGGGTAGAAGCATTTTAGATGTCAACAAGTTGATTTGATTCTGAGAAATTCCTTCTCATAAAGAAACTTTATATATTTCTGGGAGATGTCCTTTGCTTTGTAGGTAAATAAAATAATACCAGTTTTCAAAATAGAAAAACTAAAAAATGATAAAGTAAAAAATTTTAAAAACCATTTAAAACATTTAAATAGAGAAAACTAACACTTGATTAACAATATTACCCTTTCATTAATTCCTTTTCTGGTAAGAAATATGATCTAATATTTAAGTAGAAGTCTGCACTTTAGACATGTGAAGAAGGTTGTCTTTATAAAGACACTAAGTTTAAGAAACCATTGGACATAATGTTACGCAACTCTGACCTGAGAATTTAGCAGAAGGAGGCTCATTCAAGGAGACCTGCAGATTAAGAATACCCTGAATTACATAGAAAAATATATTCCCAATACAGAAGTAAAAATCCAATGTTACTATTTTGCTATATCAAATATCAAATAAAAATCCTTTCTCTTTTTCTATGACTTGGAATTATCCTCCTTAGAAGTTGACCTAGACTGTGAGAGAAGAACAGTAGGTAGGGGTGAGGGACGCTGAGTTTGAGAGGTTTTAGTTTAAGACAGTATAGGAAAAGGGAGATTTATGGGACACCAGTAGAATAGGAAGGTCAATGGGATGCTTACTATGGCTCTGTGGGCTTGTAGGTTTTCACCCCAACATCTGGCTCCTGAGTCTTTTTTTGTAAAATTGAAGGAGTGAGGTTTTGCTAGAATCAACATGAAATCATTGACTTTCTGTAAAATTGCTAATGAAAATGGAATAAATTATCAATTTCATTTTTTAAGAAAGAAAGAAAACAAATAATTCTGGGTGGGATTCAGTCATCTTAACCATTTCTCTGGATTTATTGTGTTTATTTCATCCCTATAGTTAAAAAGCAAAAGAAAGAAAAAAATAAAACTGCAGTGAAAAAAGGAAAGCAAGATGAACCCAGTAGTTCCCAATCTCTTTCCACTGATGATGAGTCAAGCATGACTAAACCCTCTTCAACGGTAAGGTAGCTAATCTCCCTCCAAAAAGTTTCTACTCGGGTTCTTTACCTTCCTAATTCCTTAGGAAGATGTCATACTTTATGTATCTAGTCTAAGGTTATAGTGAGAACAGGGTTCTAAGTCAGCAAATTCATAGTGATCTGTCACTCACTTTGTGTCAGATTTCCCATGTGCTTTAACATGTGCAGTGTAAACCCCCCAATGATGCAAACACTCAATCACTATGTGGCTTTTTAAAGACCATTTACTGGAATAGAAGCTGCTTTGTAACATGGCTTTTATAAAGAGAAAACCTAATTTCTACACCAAATACCTTTGGCCCTCACAGGGATAAATAGAGAGAGATGTAATTTTTCTACTCTTCTAGGAGACAATCATGTATGTCCAAGTTAGGGTTTATATTGCTTTGAAGAGACACCATGACTACACCATCTCTTATCAAAAGACAAATTTAATTGGGACTTGCTTGTATTCAGAGGTTTAGTCAATTATTGTCATGGAGGGAAGCATGGCAGCATGTAGGCAGACATTGTTCTAGAGAGGTAGCTGACAGTTCTACATCCTGATCTCCAAGCAGCAGGAAGATAGAGACACATTGGGCTTGGCTTAAGCATCTGAAACCTCAGTGACACACTTCTTCCAACAAAGTACACCTATGCCAACAAGGCCCCACCTCCTAATGCTGAAAACTCCCTGGTGACCAAGCATTGTTGGTCAATTCTGTGAGTCTATGGAGGCCATTATTATTTGAACATCTACACTATACAATCCAGGTTTTAAGGATGAGGTTGCACAAATATAATTAGAGTCCAATAATAAAACAAAAATTCTTATAGCTTTGAAAATATTATGCTTTGCTTAGTACTAAAGACATTGCAAAGGCTGGGAATAAAACTGTACATAAAATCCCAACTTTGCATGTATAAAGCCTGCAATTTAATCCCCCACATGGGAAAATCAATAATGAAAAACAAACATGGTTCTTTCAGAAAAAGAGAAAAACACCCACAAAAACGGAAGGTGGAAAGAAAAAGAAGCTCACCCAGGAGACAACTCAGCTTCTAGAACCTTCGCGAAGCAACACACATAAAGATGAAGGGTGTCTCCAGACTCCTCAAAAGCTTCCACCAACACCATCCATCAGTTCCTCAAACAAGGTACCACTTTCCTATTCCCAGTACGTGCCCCTTCCCAAGCATATCACTTGACTCACCACAACCATGGAAAAATGTCTCAATGGCTCCCTACTACAAATATTTTCTGTATATCATTAAATAGCTCATTAAATTATCTAACCAAGTATCACAGCCTCAATGGGATTGCAAAGGATAAGTATTTATGAAACTGATTAGGGTTCAGAAGAAGGTATGAGGTAGACAGACAAAGATAAGCTGAAGAACCTATCAATCCCTATTGCCCAGTTTCTTCTCAGTCCTTTTTCCATTGCTAGTGACCCAACCTCAGAGGTTATTTTCACCATTCTGTGTTCTATTCAGCAGGTGCTTTGACACATGCTATATCCCTGCTTGGAAGCCTTTATCCCTGTCCACTCACTGACCAAATACTGTATAACTTTAATGGTCACTTTTGCTGAGAATCCCTTCAGATCCATTCAGGCACAGACTAAACTCTCCCAGTCATTCTTCATCAAAGGGAACAACATCCCCCCGACATTTTGATGCCTTTTTAATATAATTACAATAACCATAACCTTGAAAGAACTTCTCATCTACTCTCATTTTAACATACTCAATTATACACACATACCATCCACTAATCAGGCATGTATTTTGAGATCCTGACTGCAATTTACACAAATCTTATTTTACTACATAGTACAATTGTGTTGAACACTATATGTGACCAACATTTAATCTTTATAAATGGTAGGTCCTCTTATTTAGCATGGGAACTCCTTGGGCATATCTTATTAAATTTGCTTGTAAATTATGACAGCAATATAACCCAAAATGTACACAAGCCTGGAAACTAGTCCACAGTTAGTAATAATTGTATCTTGAATGGCATCATCTTCTTAGCAATTGCTGCAGTTTAGAAGACTTTCACCTTGGACAATCAAAAACATAAAAAGGATAACAGAAAAAATGGCCAATTCAATTATACAAATGTATTTGCATACTAACTTACCTTCACTTTTAAAGCAAAATTTATAATCTTTAAAATCGTATACTTCTACTAAGATTATAAAAGTGTGGTGAAGACCATAACTAGATCTGTTGCCTGAAGTACAAGGATTTCTCACATGTGTAAAAGTTTCGCTTAACTGGAGTTATGGTAATTTTAAAGACCTAAATGAACGTTTAAATGAATCCAGATGGGCTTCAGGCATGCTAGTCCAGCCCTCTGTCAACTGAGCTACATCCCCCTCCACCAAAATTCATCTCTGTGCTCCACTTTTTTATGGTACCTGTCACACAAGTTCAGTCACACCACCTGAAACTGTGGGGGTGGTGGGCTCCCTGTGTGGACAATAAGGATTGGATATTTGATGAATTAGAAAGTCTTCATGAAGAAAAGTATGGAAATAACCAATTTTACTATAAATTTCATTTAACACAAAATAACACTAAGAGCTGAACCAAACCAAGTAATATTTGACCAGTTTTGTAAGGTATTTTGAGCAAATATTCCATCTCAGACTTATGAAAATTCAATACCTGGTTTTTAAGAGAAGTTGGAATGTCTAGGTGTTAGAAATGCTTAAGTATGTTCTAAAATGCTTCCTTCAGCCCAGGAGAAAGCTGACAGGGTAAAATTATTCTTTTCAGAAGAGACAAAAGATATACTTGGCTTTATTTTCAAAAACCATTAAGTGGTATTAAAAACTATCTCAATCCTAATTTACTTTAGAAACAGAAAAACCCAGGCATCAAAAAACATGGCACTATAAACACAGAAGTTTCCCAGAAAAAAAAACAGCTTCAAGAATTGTCAGCGAATAACACCCTCTCAGCTGTGAGTGAACTGGATACTCTTCAGGGACTTTCAGCAACAGCTTCTAGAAGTCTCAAGACTCCTTATGCACTTCCAGAAATAGGTTTGACTTCAAAGATGTCTCATGGCTCTCCAGCACCACCTAGCCAGAATTTTCCAATGTCTCCAGCATCAAACTCCAGCATGCACCAGAACTCTCATATGCCTCTAACACTGTCCAGTGCTATTCAGGTTCCTCATGTACATTCAGCAACAGCATTTAGTAGTGTGCGGGTCCCTTGCATGCCTTCAGTGTCCAGCTCTTTCAGTGTTCCTCAGATGTCTCTAGTATCAGTGCCTAGCAATACCCAGAATCTTTGTCCACCTACAGCAGCTGCATTCAATAGCATGCAGGCTCCTCACACTCCTCAAAGAGTAGCACCCAGAAATATCCAAACCCCTAGTGTTCCTTCTGAGACATTGAAAAGTAAAGCCCAGAACATAAAGATGTCTCCAGCAACAGCCTCCAGCAACATTCAGGTTCCCCATGCTCAAAGAGGAGCACCCAGAAGTATCCAAACCCCTAGCGTTCCTTCTGAGACATTGAAAAGTAAAGCCCAGAACATAAAGATGTCTCCAGCAACAGCCTCCAGCAATGTGCAGGTTCCCCATGCTCTTCCAGAAGCAGTGTCCAGAAATGTCTGCACCACTCAGGTGCCTCAAACACCCATCAGCATTCTGACTCTTAACTCTGCTACAGTAAGAGCACCCAGGAATACCGAGGTCCCAGGTCCCATAGACACTGTACCTGTTTATTTCCTGGCTTCTTTGGCATCTCCGGCAACAGAATCCAGTAGTTTCCAGGCTTCTCACGTACTTCTACCAACAGCATGTAAGAGTGTTGCAGCTCCTCAGGTGCCTATACCAATAGAAACAAACAGAGTCCAAACCACTCAAAAGCATACAGGAGCAGCAGCCAAATTCATCCAGCCTCTTCATGCTGCTCCACTCACAGTGTCTAAGAGTGTGGGTGCCATTCACGTGCCTCCAGGAGTAGCAGCATCCAGAACTATGCAGACCCTTCCTTGTCCTAGTAGTGTCCAGGCTCCTCAGATGCCTTCAGCAACAACATCCAAAAGTTTCCTGGCTCCATGTGCATCTTCACCAACAGCATTCAGCAGTCTCCTGGCTCCACGGGTGTGTCCTGCAACAGCATCTAGTAGTCTTCAGGCTTCTCTGGTGCCTCCAGCAACGAAAAGCAGCAGTCCATCCAGGGTAATGGCCTTCTGTTTTCACAATATAATGACAGAGATTAGCCCAAAGTTGGAAGGCTTCTTAGTTAATCCATGTGTGCACATAATTTTGTATAAATAATTATTCACTTTTATTGTGTATAGTTACTGACCCTTCCCTACATTCAACTTTAAAATATTTTGTATGCTCTACTCTATTAAGAAAATGCCTGATCAGTGATCACCTGATCATGTAAGTATAGTGAGACATTTTCTTATTTAATTTTACACTTTGCACTTTTTATCAAGGTGTTGTTTTCATATTTTGAATTACTGTTCCAGTTATACTGGAAATGTGCCTCCTGGTGTCATCACACAAAGGTCAAGAATCTGAGTTAAATCCTACCACCCACAGTGTGAAGTCTGTATGTTTCGAAGTCATGTTTCAAAGAGTGCTCCCAGCTATAGCTGCCTTACTGAGCTGGTACCCAGGTTGGCCATGACTGCCACCATGATTTCTCTTTCAGTTCTACAGTGTTCTTCCATTTCAAAGCACTCTTCTGATACGCAGAAATGTAGTAAAATGCTGAGGAGGCAGGCGATCAAATTAAAATGACTTCACAAATTTTGTCTCTTCCTGAATTCTCCTCCATGCCTGCTGTTATGCAAAAAGAATAGCTGATGGTATGAACCCTTTCTGATTAACAATATTTGAAGGGAATCTTCCTGGGGATGCCTACCTAACACTTTACCAGAAAGCTCTGACTTTTTAGTCAAAGTTTGGTAATTGAAACCTTCAAGATGATCCTCAACAGAAGACTTGAATAAAGCATTGGAGGCTTTGGGTTCATTCCCCACAAATATGAATATAATCCCTTTATCTACCCCTTTATCTACCAGATAAATTAGTATTAAATGGAATCAGTAGGTAATGATTTAGGTAAATATCCATTTCTTCCTTTATCTAGATCCCATTATGGCAGTCAGTGTTTAGATGTTCTCCACTCTTATCAATGGATTTGTGCATTGTGATCTACCTGAATTATGATGTTTATCCTGTTTGGGTTTTATGCAGACACCAGGGAGAGGAAACATACCAAAGGAGCCTTCTAAGGAACAAGGACATCAGCAGGGACCCAAAGAAGTGATGGTGTTGAAAGTCACAGAACCATTTACCTATGATTTGATTAAGGACAAATGGATGTTCCATGCTACTGTAGCTACTGAGACTGAATTCTTCAGAGTAAAGGTTTTTGACACAGTCCTAAAGAACAAATTCATTCCAAAAAAGATAATTGTAATATCCGATTATTCTGACAGCAATGGATTTCTAGAGATACACAGCACTACCTGTGTGTCTGATGTGAATGTTAACCAAGCAATGGTTATCCCAAATACACTGAAGCAAAGAGCCAATGCAACTCCTAAAATCAAGGATCTTTTCTCACAAATGAAAGGGACATATGTGAATGGAGAGTTTATAGTATTTAAGGTAAGACATTGCATTATTTGTAAAATTTATTTTGCAATCTAACATTTTTGAGTTTTAACTTGCTCAACTTATTTAACACAGGAAGTAATTGCCCTTCTTTTCAGAAAGAGTTGCCTAAGGTTTCCTCCCTTTGGGGATTGGGATAATTTCTTATCATTCTTCTCCTTAAGGTAGCCCCATGAAAATTCTTTAGAGATTCATCAACAAACTAGCATATTGGTGGCTATGACAATCCATCTATAGCCATCCTATTCCAGACACTGTTCAGTTTATAGCATACTTTCCTTTCAGGCTTTCTTTCTTTGAAGGCTTCCTTTACCATATTATTGGCAATTCAGTTGTGAATGAAAAGTCAACCATAGCCTAGACACAGTTTCAGATGATGACAATAAAAAATCAAATAGACTATTTTGCCCTAGAATGAAGCCATGCCCAAGTAAAGATTATTTCTTTAATGTATTCTCATTATCATCTTCTTTACTTTTTATTGAGATCTTTTGAAGGAGTGACTAACATTTTAAATAATGAGAGGAAAGTGGAGATTAATAGATTGGTTTAATTTCACAATTTACAATAAAGCACAATGAAATTGAAGATACTAAAATAAATTTTTGACTTTCTGGTGTTTGATTAGGTACCAATGCACCAATTCATTAGTATGCTTGTTCAATGTATGATTTCATAATTCACTGTGTATGGATCAGTCATGGCTTTTTTACTTTTATCATGCTATTATTGACTATGCTGTTACATTTGGTTACACAATTAATAAGTTAATTAAGTGAGACACAAACTAAAATACCAGTACTAAATGCTGTAGATTTAACCTTTGAGGGATTAAGAAGTAATTGACTGAATAGATATCAGATTTGAGCAAATATGATCCATTTAAAAAGATGTGTGTGTCTCTGTGTGTCTATTTGTTTCTCATGCTATTTCTTTTTTGTGTTTGCTAGTTTGCTCATTTTGTTTTATTCTTGCTAGTTCATCTTCTCTATTCACCTGTCAATTTTCTTAAGAGAGAGAAAGAGAGAAAAAAAGTGTGGAGTTGGAAGGGTGGGTAGGAGTGGATTATCTAGGAGGAGGTAGGGGAGGGTAAACTATGATCAGAACATGTTCTTTGAAAATAATATTATTTTCAGGGAAGAATAGAAGAGAGCAGGATGACAGATACCATAATAGAGGGAGGCATTATAAGTTTGAAGAGAGATCTTATGCTAGTGAGATTTCCAGGGACCTATAAGGATGACAACAACTGGCAAACTAAGCAATGGTGGAGAGGCTACCTTAAATGCCCTTCCCGGATAATGAGATTGATGACTACAGAGTATGCCACATTAGAGCCTTCATCCAGTGGCTGATGGAAGCAGAGGCAGATACCCACAGCTAAACACTGAGCTGAACTCCTGGAACCTGGTTGCAGAGAGGGAGGAGTCATGAGCAAAGGAGTCAAGACCAGGCTGGTATAATCCACAGAAACTGCTTACCTGAAAAAGGGGGAGCTCATGGACCCAAAACTGATGGCTGAGAGGACAGCATGGGATGGCTCCAGACTCCTTAAATTTGTCAGTGAGGAGGCCTCAGCAATCTATGGGGACCGGCGTAGTAGATCTATATTTATCCCTGGCATACAAATGGACTTGGGGAGCTCATTCCACATGGAGGGACGTTCTCTCTGCCTGGACACATTGGGGAGGACCCAGCCCCTGCCCTGTATGATATGACAAAATTTGCAGATCACCTATGGAGGACCTCACCCTCCATGGGGAACGGAGTTGGGATTGGGCTGGGGAGTGAGGGGACTAGTGGGGGCCAGGGGAGGAGGGGAGGGTGAGAAAGTTGGTATTGACATGTGAAGCAAGGTTATTTCTAATTTAAATTAAAAAACGTAAAAAAAGAAATGGCTATTTTAGAGGACGAAACTAGACAAAGATAAGGATATTAGATTCTGAACCTGCAATACTTCAACATTTCCACTTCTCTGAAATTCGAGTAAGTCAATCACGAAGCATTACAAAGAACTTCTACAGTCACAACTTTTTTCTAAAAATTCTCATTCACATGGTTGCAATTTGTGTTTTCAAATTATGCAAAATGTGTACTGTATCAATTTAGATTGAAATTGCTTCATCAAAAAAATTTGAAATAAATTTTTAGAAATGGAATTATAACAGTATTTCTCAAGCTCACACTGAGGCCTTTCTTCTTAGGCCTCCTGAGGTACCTAAGAAACCCACAATTGTAATTAAATGGATTTTGTTACTTTTTTTTTATTTTTGATCTCTGTCTTGGGAGTCTTAGGAAACCTCAGCTATTCTGATATATTACCACTAGTACTTAGTAAGATACTAATTTACCTAAAAACTCCCAGCATATGAAGTCCTCAGGTAGGTAAAACTTAACATTGGCTTCCAAGGGCCGCACTGATGGCTCAGTCATTAAAGGCTAGGCTCACAAAACCTCCAGAGTGATTTCCAAGAAAAGATTTTTCACCAGAACACCTTAAACTCCTTTGTTCCTATAATTCTATTCTTTCAGTTATTTCTTTATATTTTCTGTGAGGGTTGAGAGGAAACACAAAGGCCATGAAAGTATTGTGAAGTCAGAAGAGAAGCTTCACAAGTGAGTACAGTCCTTCTACCATGAGTCCTGGTAATGGAGCCCAGGTAGTCAGGCTTGCCAACAACACCATTACCCTTACCCACTGAGCCATCTCACTGGCCCTTGTGTCTGTGATTCTAAACCTAAGAGCCATACTTGTTTTGTCAAGGACAGGTTTATCACAAAACTGTATTTCTCATAGATGTGACCAGTTTTGACATATTTCCTAAAGCATGAAACTTAACTTGTTTTTCAGAAAAATGAGAGGAATAACTTCATTTGCTATGGCATAGAAGATGACACCGGGAGAATGGAAGTGGTTGTCTATGGACGGCTGACAAGTATCAGGTGTGACCCAGGGAATAAACTTCGGCTTGTTTGCTTTGAATTGTCCTCAAGTGAAGACACATGGCAGCTGAGGTCTGTAAGGCACAGTTATATGCAGGTGTGTACTCTGGGAAATACCATTCTTCCTAAGAATCATAAACATATATTTAATACACTAGTAAAGCTTGAATGTTGGCATTGCATATAAAATCCAGCAAGTGTAGGCAAATTAAGCATTGTGCATTTAATAAACTTCATTCCATTATAATTTAACTAAGGATTTTAAAATCATAATAAAGAAAATTCAGAAAGGCTCAAAACATTGTTATCTGTTAAGCTAAATTATAGAAAACCATCTCATTTATCAAAGTAAAGTGATAATTTGGCAGGAATCATGTTAATTAAGATGTTTCCTTCAAATTCTGAGTCTCTGGTTTTTCAAATTTACCAAAGATTAACCACAAAGTACTTGGGGTCTTTATCTATAACACTCAAATAATTTCTGTTGCAGAAGATTATGAACAGAAATGTCAAGTTCCCAAGGTTGCCCTGAGCAAAGCATACCACAATATGCTAAAATCCACAATCCTTGTCATACTTATACACTGTGTGGGATTCATTTTGCACTTTTTTAAAGACCACTATTGCAGGGGAAACAGAAGAAATATCAGGGATCACCTGTTCATTCACATAGAAACGCTCTTACAGTACCATCACTCTCAGACCCTCAGGCAGAGTTCCAAACCTTCCCACTGGTAACTGCAACAGCAAAGCCTTTTCTCACTCTTCCCAACCTGTAGTTCAGTGAGACTCTGCAACTCAGTCTTTACCTCAGGAACCTCAGCTCTTTCCTCTCCACTACAGCTTTGTGCTCAAGCCTGTTGGAGTGACTAGTTAGTTTCATAGTCTCAAACAAGTGAAGAAACCTGGCTGCAAACACAGAGAGACATTTCAGGAGATAGGCCAGAGTGAGAAAAGGGATGTGACTCATGCTGACCAGTCAATAGGAATGTGGAGAGAAGTGTGGAGCCATCTGCATTTCAACTGATTTAACCTCAACTTTGTCTTCTTTAAGGTCATCAATGTCAGAAGGAACATCTATCAACACTGATTCAGTTATGAAAACCTCCCTAAAACCATACTCCTGAAAATCTGAATGCCAAGGATACTGTTTATGTAAATATGATCCAAGTCAAGAAATAAATGTATATATGACCTGTTGAAATACTCTACCTATGAAAGCAAGTTAATTTTTTTCAGTGTTTTAGACAGGCTTTCTCTGTTTAGTCCTTGTTGTCCTGGAACACTTTGTAGACCAGAGTGGCATCAAAATCAGAGATCAAACTGCTCTGCCTGCCTCGTGCTTGGATAAAAGATCTATGCCACCACATCCCGAATCGGCACTTAATTCTAGAAAATGGTGCTTTTTATTATTCTTTATACATTTATGTATTAATATAAATTTCATGTTTTGTATCTATAACTTTTATAATTTGTAGCCTATGTTTTATATATTAAACAAAAAATAAAACACATTTTCTGTAAAGTGTTGATTCCTTGGGAATATCTTTCAACCATTTGAGAATTGTTGTAAAATTAAAAGTTAGTGGCCTCCATATACATCTGTGGAATACATGTTTTAAGTGTGATGTCTAAGGACAAATCATGTTCAAGAGCAAATAGACTGTGTCCTGCTCAGAAAAGACAAGGCATTAATAAGACACAGGAGAAGTTTGAATTCTGCTTGAGTTTAGTTTCCAAAACTATTATGCTGAGGACAGAACAAGACTTCTGACCCATTTTGCTAAGTAATGCAAGTGTGTTACAGTGTTTAATTATTTGAGCAAAGAATTCCCCCAGAGTGGGGAATAACAGCTGGGCGTTGGTGGCGCACACCTTTAATCCCAGCACTTGGGAGGCAGAGACAGGCAGATCTCTGTGAGTTCGAGACCATCCTGGTCTACAGAGAGAGTTCCAGGAGAGCCTCCAAAATAATACAGAGAAACCCCGTCTCAAAAAACCAAAAAAAAAAAAAAGAGTGGGGAATAAAATTTGCAACATAAGGAATCTCAACTCCAATTCTAGTATGAAACATGTCACCAGAAACCTTGAGAGCAAATGAGCAAGCCCTATGAGAAAGGAATTAAGAAATGAGTCAGTATTCCTAGAGAGTCCTTTCAGGAGTATTGTTAACTCTCTCTGACAACTGACCAAAGAAACTGAAGGAGCATCAAGTTTATTTTTGCTCACAGTTTAGTGGTAGAGGAGAGTGAGATGGAGAGTCACGTTGTGATTACAGCAGGATGCAGAAAGAGGTGAGTTCCAGAGCTTAGCACTCTGTGTGTCTCTCTTTATCTCTCTGACTCAGTCTTTTTATTCAGTTCAAGACCTGACCTATTCAACAATACTGCCCACACGTAAAAGCAGTGTTTCCAAATTCTAATCCCATCTAGAAAGCCCCTCATGCACAAGTTCAACGGATTCCCATGAGTGACTGTAGATCCTATGTGGTTCACAATCAATGTTAACAGTCACATGGGGCAACGATCTGACATGGAGTAATGGCAAAGGAAAGGTGGGAATAGAATAAATGCAGGAGGAGGAAAGAGCTAATGATGAGTGCATCTCCCATCTGGAAATCCACGTCTTCTTTCCCATTCTAGTTATCCTGGAAATATGGGCTTAATTAAGAGTGTGTTTACATATTGATCACTTCCCATCAATAGATCAATGTCACTAGAAAAGCATTTATGGAAGGGAATTCTGAATGTTTTTTTTTATTATTTGTTGTGTTTTAGCTTTTCTCTTCCAGCACATGAGGATGAAGTAAGGCTAGCATGGGGAACAGCTTAGCCACTTGTCCAATAACCACAAAAGCACTTTCCAACCAGAGACCATTATCTGCATCTCCTGTATGCATACAACATTCTTTTAACAATATAACTGAAAACTAATGGCCATACACATACATCAAGTTGTAAAAATATATTGTGAAAACAATGAAAATGGTTACTGCCTTTAGAGATACCTTCATTAAACACTTAGTTATATTCAAATATATCACAGAACACTATTGGTACGAGGAAAGATGGTCTGATTCAGCCTAGGCTTGTTTGGCTACCTGTACAAGACAAACTCTGTCCTCAAAGGGAAATTTTATGATGAATATCCTATTTGTTATTTCTTTCTATGTATAATTGTGTGTATATAGTAAAAAATACTGTGTGGAAAGGGATAATTACAGAAAGGAAATGCCTACCTAATTTAAGTCTATCAGTTGAAATGAAGATTCACTTGTGTTACACCCCTTCAGCACCACAATTCTTCCTTCTCTTGAACTCCATGAAAGGGGCTCCAAAGGAAAACTGGGGCCCTTGAGCAACCTTCCTCGAGTGGCTTATTGTTGCTCTTCACATATATTCCTATCTGATCTGTACTGTCAGTTTTCCATTAATATAGTTTTCTTTAAAATTCCTTCTTTAAAATGTATGAGACTTTACCCCAAATCTTTGAATGGAAATGCAAGATTTTAGACTCTGACCTCCACCATATCCTGTAACAAAAATACAGGAAGAAACTGCACCAAATGTTCAAGACTAGTTCTTGGATTCCCAACTGAGTATTACATTTATTTTCTTTATATAACACTTTAACTATAGTGCCCTGACATAACACAAAACAGACTTTGACAGAAGGAAATTATGTGCTTTCTGTAATAGTCTGATGATGGGAGATGTCATTTCTGTAAATCTGTCTCTTATTGGTTGTTGAATAAAGCACTGTTGGCCAATAGGGAAGGAAGACAGGTGGGACTAGGAGTTGAGGAGGATTCTGGGAAAGAGAGACACAGGCAGTCACGATGTAGCCTCCAGAGGAGTAAAAGGTTCAGACCCTTTCTCCGGTAAGAGAAATACTTAGATTAACAATTATGGGGTAAATACTTAAGTCAGAAATAGGCAGTAAGAAACCAAGCAAATGGCCAATAGTTTCATAGTTAATATGGCCTCCTGTGTGTTCATTTGGGACTGATGTGGCTCTCAAACCAGGCTGGCAGGAAGACTGCACTCTACAGTCCGATACAGAGAATTACATTTTATATAGACATAACTTTTCAATTTATATCATTCACAAATGCTGTCCAACAAGGATGAGAGTACCTTTGTTAATAACTATATAAAGTACGCTAGAACTATCCTCTATGTTGTATGACAATATTTCTGGAGTAGTTTAAATATCTGACTACTCGCCCAAAGTCAAAGTTCTGGTACAAGTAAAACCCAATTTAGTGAACCAACTGGATTTGTTTTCATTGTGCTCACAGCAGCTAAAAACCTAGAGCACCCTTGACACTCTGTAGACAATACCATGCTTAGGAGAGTGTCCTTTCACCTAGTTAGTTCATCTGAGCCTCTTCCAGGTAGCTTGGCTGGTCTCTACTTTGTCCAGGCATATTGGCTCATCTGAGAGTGCATAACAACACTCCTTCAAGCCTGAACATTCTTGGGGATGGAGGACCCTATTATATCTGGTTTCAGGAACTTCCTGAAGTCTCTAAGTTGTTTACTTCTTGACCTCAATGATCTTCCTTGCAGGATGGGAGTTCCCTACCTATTCTTAAATATCCTGCTACTCTGCATGCTTTTGTTAACACCCTGTATCTTAACAAGCTTTCCTCCAAGAAAAGTGCAAGATTGAGATCTTGGAGGAAACTGCAGTCTCCCTGATGTTTACATAAGGACTCAACTCCTCCTCTGCCGGAAGTTGTGTCCCTTACAGTATGGAGAAGACCAGAAATGTTGTTGTCAGTTTCTTTTTGAGTTTTGGACAAACGAAAATGTAGAATACCTGAGACAGTGATGGCCCCACTGTTAGAGTGGTAACCAACTGCTTTCTGGTTTGATTTGAGGCCTGCTACACAAGAGAAAATTCATACTTAGCATTATACACCTCATCAAAACCTCTCACCTGGAGACAGTAGGCAATAGGGAGAAATCTCTGTTGTTAGATATTTAATCACATAGTGTAAAAATATGTCACTCAGATTCATATAGGAAATAGCTGAAACAGGCAGAATTTTAGGGCACAGAGGATTCTGGGAAGAGGAAAGGCATAATCAAACGCCAATGTGGAAAAGGCATGACATGTAGATGAGATAACAATCCCTGAGTCACATGGCAGTGATTAATCAATAGAAATGGATTAATTTAATTAATAAGATCTAACTAAAAAAGAATCCTATGCTATTGGCAAAGGTTTCACAACTAATGAAAAGTCTCTGTGTAGGGATTTGGGAGTTGACTGGCAGGACTAAGAAAGACTCACTACAAACTGCAGAACTTATTGTCAGTTTTACCTTAAATTAATCAAGTTTATACCTACAGTTTAATGCTACTCACAGCCTTGGTCAGAAAAACTTCTTTTTGTTGTCAGTAAATTTACTCTGTTAAAGCTAAAACCTTTCTTTTTAATTAGAGAAAAAGAGGGAAATGTGAAATATTCCTTTACACTGTGTGACTATATGCCACTGTGATTGGTTTAATAAAGAAGCTATTGGTCAATAACTAGACAGGATAAGTTTAGGCAGGAGAACTAAACTAAGGACCCTGGGAAGAATAAGGATGGAGTCAAAAGTCATGATCCAAATGCAAAAGAAGCAACATGGAAAGCTTGTAAATGAGGTAAAAAAGATTGTGGGGTAGCACATAAATTAATAAAAAATGGATTCCTTTAAGCTGTAGAACCTAGTTAGTAATAATCCTAAGATGAATAATTATAATTAATTTTAAGTCTCAGAGTTGTTATTTGGGAGAAGCTGCCAGGACAGAAAAACTCCACCTAGAGAGGTTGCTATTAATTCCAGAACTTAGGTGCTTACCTAATATCAACACCAGTCTCTGCACCAATTTGAGAATTATTTGGAATTTGAATCCAGAACTCCAATTAGAACTTGAGATCTGGGGCTAGTTGGAGCCTTAACGTTAACCCCTGGAGTGATCCCAAGGTTAAATTCTAAGCATTATTTTCCTGGCCTAATCTGTCAGATTGGAATAACAAGGAAAAAAGTTGAACATCCACACAGCAAAGAAGTGACAGAGATCCACTAGAGATGTTTAGTTCCCGGTGCAAAAACAAAAATATAAACAATCAAGACATGTATATCCTTCATAAGTAAGCCACCAACCCAGAAGGGGATTCCCAAACAGGTGGGGATCCCTTCCAGATCCTGCATTAGGAAGACACCACACCCAAATGACTGTTTTCATAGAAAGATCATTTATTAAGGTAGGAAGAAAAGTTAAAGTGGCTGCTTTCTGACTCAGGCAGAAAAACAGCAGCAAATGACATTACACATGTCATTTTAAGAGTGGAAAATGGGAGGTCTGTGTTAGAACGGGCTAGGAGGCAGTGGTAAAGGAGATGGGAGGCTTTGAGAAGCTGAACGGGACAAGGATAAGAGATAAGGGGTATTTGTCTTTGAGGGATAAAGAACTGCCTCTGGATAGAGCAGATACACAAGCCCCTCCTCTTCCTTATATGGATGTGACCACCACCCCAAGTCCAGTGGCAGAACAAGATGCCATTACAGAAGTATACAAACTCATGAAAGCTAAACAACTCTCTACTGAATGTAAACTGGATCAAACAGAAAATAAGAAGGAAATTAAACACCTTTTAGAATAGAATTAAAATAATAATGCAGCATAACCAATCTATGAGAAACAATGAATGCAGTTCTAAGGGCCAAGTTCATAGCACTAAGTATCTACGTAAAAAAAAAAACGGTAAAGGTATTAGATTAATAATTTGAAGGCTCTAGAAAAACCAACAAGAATAAAAGGTACTCAAAGGGAGTAGACAGAAAGAAGTTATCAAACTCAGGGCTGAACTCAAGGAAATAGAATCAATAAAAACCTTATAGAGAATGAATTAAACAGTTACTCCTTTGAGAAAAATCAACAAGATTGGCAAACCTTTAGCAAAATTAATCTATGAAGACATGTAAGAAAAACAACTGAGCACAACAGAGCCTTGTTTTTCATGCTAAACCAAGTAAAGTGTATGCAGTTAGGAGAAAATTGAATCTTGCTAGCTGGGGAAATCGAAAGCTAAGAACAAAGGGTGGAGCCTTCTCTTTTGCAACCCTTGTCTCCCAGGAATAGCAGAGTGCAAGACATTCAAGGTTGCGCAACTTGAAATGAAGTGAAATGACTCTGACCACTGTCATTCTTCTCATCGTTAAAAATCCTTCTTGTTCTTGGAAGTTGAGGGATTGCAACACCCCTGTCCAAACTGAGAGTTTTGTCTTCTTACTTAAATAAAACTCACCCTGCTTCTTGCATTGTAGAGAAACTAGGATCTGGATACCGCTGAAGAAATTGCTAAGAAGGTAAGTCCTGCCCCCTGCTATGTAAAGTTGAGAACTCTGTGGAATCCACTAGGGAACAGGGAAAATAGAACTGCTTCCTTCAGAAGATCATAGGGAAGAGTGCTTGTGGCAGCTGCTTTCCGGGCAGTGAACCCACAGTAACTAGGTTCTAGTGCTTCACCAGGGAAGATGGAAGACATCGGTACTACAGTCTTACTGGGCCATGAGCCACGAGAAATGCATTTTGATCATGATTGATAATAAAATAACTTCATAAGTGTAAGTATGAAGAAATGGAAAATAAGAAGAAGACTTTAGTTATCTTGGCTGGAGAGAAAGAAGGAACTTTTTGGCTTTGGTGATTGACTGGGTCACAGTTAGGATAGTGACGTTAAAGAATTCCTGTGAAATAATATTTAAGGAAAATTTATGAGGATGCAGAGCTGCACTCTAGTATTCTGATATTGATCAACATGAGAAACAATGACATACATAGTTCAAAGTTTCACAGATTTCCACTGTTATTCAAGTACATCTGTTTTTAATCATACTCAGATGTATTTATCAATATCTTTTTTATCAGCAGGATCTCAACCATAGTGATTTAGTTTCTGTTGTCTCGGAAGTTATTGTTTTCTTCTGTTTTGGAGTGTTTGGAGTTGTGTTTTTCATTTTCAGGGGCTGATGGAGAGTTACTTGTAAATATATCTCTATTGCCTATTTTTAGAATGTTTAAAGGGTTCTCATTTATCCGCTAGAGCTCTGAATGTGTACTTGAACAGAGTATTTTAGAAGTTGATATCAGACATGTACATGTGTAAGGTTATCTCTCTTGGTATATCACTTATGTTTCTAAAACATTCTAATTTTTTTCAAATGTTTATATCTTATTTATTTAGTATTTGAGAAATATTCTGCTGTATCTATCAAACTATTGTGCATCTTCTCAAGTTCACACATGAGTTTGCTCTTTCAAATTACACATGAAGAGGATTTGTGTGCATCTGCACATTTGGAATAAAACATATTTTGTGTTGTTACTTATTATGATCCTATCAGGAGACATAAAATACTAAGAAATACAATACACAATTATTGAGATATAAATCCAGCAGTTAAAGTATTATTTCTTTCTGGGTTATGCTCTGGATGGTTTTTGTCAACTTGACACAGATAAAATTATCTAGAAAGAGATGTCTGAGTTGAGAAAATGCTTCCTTCAAAATTGCCTGTAGGAAATTGTGTAGGGCTTATCCTTTTATAAATTAATTTTTATTTAAATTAAAAACAATATTATTTTACATGCCAGTTCCCAGTTCCATCTTCCACCCATCCTCCCATTCTTCCCACCATCTCCCCATCCCATAGCCCATCCAATCCTCAGGAAGGGTGATACCTCCCATAGGAAATCATCAAAGTCTGTCACATCATTTTGGGCAAGACCTAGCCCCTCCCTCCCTGTATCTAGGCTGAGAAGTTATCCCAGACCCTCTGGCAGTGGGATTGTAGGTTGGAACTCCCCTGATCCATGAAAAGACTGCATTTTAGAGAGGCTTCTATGCTTTACAGAAACATTGGGTATTTAAGAAAAACTTTGGATATTTTCAAGATGCATTAGGTATTTTAGCAAGATTTTGAAATTTGGAAGAGACTTCAGGTGTTTCAAAGACACTGAACATTTAAGGTGTTTATCTTTTTAGAAGTGAGGCTGGACACACATTTGACATTGAAATTCAGAATTTGGTGGACAGGAATTGGCATTGCTGCATGTATGCTATATTGTGTCATACTGGAAATTCTATTGAGGTTGGGATGATTAGTCCAAATTCAAAAGCAATGACCCTTCAATAACAAAATGAAATGTCTCACATAAATGGAACCCATAAAAACTACACATAATCTTTGTCATTACATATCGTGTTGAACTTGAAATAGTTGTGTTTTCACAAGTACCAACCTAAATAAAAACTTTATATTTTTATTTTCTTTGGGATCTGGAGATCAGTATTGCATAAAAAACTGGAATACTGCTGTGAAGAAGGGAGTTTTACTGTTAAGAATCAGTTTTCACCTCCTCCTTGAATATGTAAATGATCTACTTTTAAATGGCTTATGGCTTACAGAGTATGCATTTTTCTTAATACTCATTATCTCCCTGTCATGAGCAATTGTGTGGATATCCCATTCATCCTTGGGTTTCTTTGAGCATGGATGATGTTCAGTTATCCTCAATAAATAAGGAAGTAGTTGACAGCCCTAGAAATTAATATCAAATTAAACTGAGGTAATACAGGCATGATTCCCAAACTGAAACACTGGGCTCTTTCCTCCCTCTGAAAATCATCAAGGGAGTATATAAAATGTGAATGAGCCACAAAATAGTTCATTGGAGGATTTAGGGAATTTCCAGAAAGCCTGTTTTTTTTTTTTTGAAATTTCTAATTTTCTAATATTTGTCATTAGTTCCTTACAAATTTCACTGATGAGGGTTGAAAAATCTATGGGCATATTTGTAAGTTTAATTATATTCCTATTTAGCTGTGTGAAATTTGTAGGTTCTCAAATTGGGTCTATGAGTAGTCTAGTCATAGGATTGCAGTCTCAGTAATGATGCCAGCTATGGGTTTCAGCTCATACAGGCCTTAGATCAAATAACAAATCAGATGGTTAATCCCAAAATCTTCATGACACTATTGCACCAGTTAACAAGTCTTGCCATACTGGTTGTCACTGCAACCCAAAGATACACAACACAGTAAAGTTAATGATTATTTTGTTCCTCCAATATTGTGCATAGTGCCTTCCAAAATTGGAAAATCTGGCCAGTATGGATGAGGCTTCCACGTAAGTACCAACTTGATTTCTCCAAAACTGTCACTAGCCTAAGTCACCTAAGGTGACTAATGGGAAAGAATTTCCTAAACTCGTTTATTAAGATGGAAGTTCTACATCCATTTTGAAAGGTGGAACAGCTTGTATTGAACTTTTTTTCTCTCACCTTATCAATTGTTGCCATTCACTAACACAGAAATAGCCCTGCTTTAAATTTGTCTGTATGTGAGTATAATCCTATGTCCATTTTTCATCTTTTAGGATTGTCCATAATTTTAGAGAAAATGAGTGAATACAAGAAAAGTGTTCTTTTACAAGGAATACAGAGCATGGATGACAACCATTTTAGGACAATCAAGTCCTTACTAAGAAAAAAACTAAATCTAACGAAAAAGATGCAAGAGAATTATGACAGAATTCAAATAGCTGACCTGATGGAGGACAAATTTCCACAAGATGCTGGACTGGACACACTGATTGATGTGTGTCAAAGCATTAAAGAACTTAAAGGCTTTGTGAAAACACTGAAAACACAGAAAGCAAAAGGTAACAGAGGAGCGTCCTACTCATCCCTTCTCAACCCTCCCTAAACTTTTTAGCTTCCTGCAGTGATCAGAGCTGATGGGTCTCTTTACCACTGTGTGCCTTAGAAATTATATGGCTTGAAGAATTTGAGATGTCAACAAATTGACAATTTTGAGAAACCCTTTCTTACAGAGAAAATTTATATATTTCTGGATAGACGTCTTTTACATTGGAGATAAATAAAACAAAAAACAGTTATTGAGGGAGATTAGAATTCCCAACATGATGGAAAAAATAGAACATGATAAAGTAAAAAATTAAAAAAATAATTTAAAGCATTTGAATGGAGTTAAATTTAATGATGGATTAAGACTTATACATTCATTAATATTTTCTGCTAAGATATGTGATCTAAAACATATGTAGAAGCCTGCTTTTTAGAGATGTGAAGACAGTTTTATTTATAAAGTCACAAGGTTTAAAAAGTATTGGATATACTGGACACAACTCTGACCTGAGAATTTAGCATACGAAGGCTCAGTCAAGGAGACCTGCCAATTGAGAATACACTAACTTACATAGAAAGATATATCCCCAATATAGAAATCAAAATTCAATGTTATTATTTTGTTACATCAAACATCAATTCATAATTCTTTATCTTTTACTATGACTTGGAACTATCCTCTTTAAAAGGTATCCTATTGGTATCATCATAAGAGTTTCATGTTTTCAAAGTCTGTCTGTGGGATAAGAGGGTTGGAACAGGGTTGTAATGATAAAAACAGAAGTTTCCAAGATGGAGAATCTGGGTTCACTACAGCTGGGATTTGCAAAGGATTCCCTGAGGCAGTGTCTGTATCTGAATTGGAACCACTGGAGGAATTCTGGCCAGGTAGAGCCTCTGCAGCAGATGAAGGGAAACACAGACATGAGTAAAGATGAAATAGTTCTTAAAATTCATCACACTGTGTACCCTGAGATTGTGCTATTTATCTGAAAAAAATTCTTTCTGGGTTTGGTGTGGTGCAGCCCTAGCACACACACTTAAGCCAACAGATTTCTGCTTGAATGTTGTAAACAGGATAAAATAAAGTCAACCCTAGGTCAAGAGGCAGAGCAAGCAACCAGTTGACATAAAATGAACACAGGATGATTAGGAAAAAAACATAGAGAGTAAGAGGAAGTCAGGAGAGTGGTGACAGAGAAGCACAAGAAGTAGGAGTGAGGGACATTGGGTTTGAGGGGTTTGGGTTTGAGACAGTATAGAAAAAGGGGGTTTATGGGACACCACTGCAATAGGAAGGTCAACTGGGTGCTTACTATGGCTCTGTGAGCTTGTAGGTTTTCACCCCAAAATCTGGCTCCTGAGATGTATTGATAAAATTGAAGGAGTGAGGTTTTGTTATAATCAACATGAAATTATTGTCTTTCTATAAAGTTATTAATGAAAATGGAATAACTTATCAATTTCATTTTTTAAAACAGAAAGAGAATAATTAATTCTGAATGAGCTTCAGCTATCTTAACCATTTCTCTGGATTTATTGTGTTTTCTTTCCTTATAGTTAAAAAGCAAAAGAAAGGAAAAAATAAAACTGCAGTGAAAAAAGAAAAGCAAGATGAACCCAGTAGTTCCCAATCTCTTTCCACTGATGATGAATTCAACAAGAATAAACCCTCTTCAAAGGTAAGGTGGCCAATCTTCCACAAAAACATTTCTACTCGAGTTCTTTACCTTCTCAATTCCTTGGAAAGGTTTCATACTCTAGCTAACTAGTCCAAGGTCCTAGTGAGAACAGGGTTCTAAGTCAGCAGATTCATAGTGACCTGTAACTCACTTTGCGTAAGATTTCCCATGTGCTCTAACATGTGCAGTGTAACCTCCCATGATGCAAACATACAATCACTATGTGGCTTTTTCAAGACCATTTATTGAAACAGCAGTTTCTTTTGCATGTGGCCTTTAAAAGATTGATCATAAGTATGGCCTTTGTAATTCTATAACTAATACTCTTCTTCCATCACAGGATAAAGAGGGTGAGATAAATGTAATTTTATACTCCTCTTTGAGCCAATTATTATGTCTTAGGTTAGGGTTTCCATTACTTTGAAGAAATATCATGACTACAACGATTCTTATAAGACACCCACATACATATATTGGGACTTACTTACATTCAGAGGGTCAGTCCATTATTATAGTTGAAAGAAGCATAGAGCATACAGACAGGCATTGTGCTGCAGAAGTAGCAGAGAATTAAACATCTCCACAGGCAGCAATAAGGGAGAATGAGAGAGGGCCTGGCTTGAGCATCTGAAACCTCAAGGAAAACCTCTCAGTCACACAATTCTGCGAACAAAGCACACCTACTCTGACAACGCTACATCACCTAATAGTGCCAGTACCTGGCGAACAAGCATTCAAATCTGTGAGTCTATGGGGGCCATTCTTATTCAAACCACCACACTATACAATCCATTTGTTAACAATGGGGTTTACACAATGTCACAAATAGAATTAGAGTCCAGCAATGAAACAAATATTCTTATGGCCTTGAAAATATTATACTTTACTTAATACTTAAGACATTACTAAGAGCTGGGGCTAAAACTGCATAGAAAAGCACAACTCACCATGTACAAACTGGGGTTCAATTCCCAAAAATCAATAAAGACAAACATTGTTCTTTCAGAGAAAGAGAAAAACACCCACAAAAACTGAAGGTGGCAAGAAAAGGAAGCTCACCCAGGAGCCAACACAGCTTCCAGGACCTTCACGAAGCAACGCAGGAAAAGATGAAGGTTGTCTCCAGACTCCTCAAAAGCCTCCACCAACACCATCCATTCCTTCCTCAAAGAAGGTACCACTTTCCTATTCCCAGTCCTTGCCAGTTCTCAAAGCATATCACTGGGCTCACAACAAATGTGGAAAAAGTCTCACTGGTCCTCTACTACAAAGATTTTCCTCAGGTTATGAAATGATTTGTTAATATATCAAATCATATATCATGACCTCCATGGTATTGAAAAGGTAAGTATTTGTGGAACGATTTCTAATGATGACAACCAATTCTCTGCTTAGGGTTGAGAAGAAAAAGGTATAGAGTAGATAGACAAGGATTAACACAGGAATGTATCAATCTCCATTGCCTAGTTCCTTCTCAGTCCTTTTCCATTTCCTGGTGACTCAACTTCAGAGGTTATTTTCAACTTTCTGTGCTCTTCTCAGCTGGGGTTTCCCCATTCACTGAACAAATACTGTATAATTGTAATGGTCACTTTTGCTGAGAATCACCTTCAGACTCCTCAGGGATAGACCAAAACTCTCACAGCCATTCCTTATCATAGGGATCATCTCCTTGTCCCCATGTTGATCCTTTCTTAATATAACTACAGCAATTATGACCTTGAAAAAACTTCTCATTTAATCTCCCAGTCAATGTCCTCATCTAATCTGCCTAGCGAGTTATATTGGAAATGTACTTCCTGATGTTAGAACACATCCATCAAGTATCACAGTTAAACCCTGCCACTCACAGGGTGAAGACTGTATGTTTCAGTTATTGCTGCCTCCCTGAGCTGGTACCCAGGTGGCCATGACTGCCACCATGCTTTCTCTTTAAGTTCTACAGTGTTGCTTCCTTTCCAAGTGCTCTCCTAATGGTCAGAAATGGAGCCAGATACTGAAGATGCCGGTGATCAAAGTAAAATGACTTAATGACCTTTTCCTGGTGCCAGGATTCTCCTCCATGCCTGCTATTATTCAAACAGAAGAGCTGCTAGCCTGAACTCTTTCTAATTAACAATATTTGAGGGGATCTTCCTGAGACAGCCTACCTATTCCTTTTACTAGAAAGATCTGACTTTTAGTCAAGGTTTTGTAATTTAACTCTTCAAAATGTTTGGAGATGGAAGACATGATTAGAGCATTGGAGGCTTTGTGTACATTCTCCAAACTATAAGTATAATCCCTTTATCTACCAGGCATGCTCAGTAATAACTATTATCACTAGGTAGTGATTAAGGTACATACCCATTTCTTCCTTTACCTATGTTATAATATGGCAAGAATTGTTTAGATGTTCTCCACTCTACTCAGTTAATTTGTGCATTGTGATCTGCCTGAATTATGCATGTTTATCCTGTCTGTGTTGTATACAGAAATCAGAGAGTGAAAACCTACCAAAGGAGCCTTCTAAGGAACATGGGCATCAGCGTGGAATCAAAGAAGTTATGGTGTTGAAAGTAACAGAACCATTTACTTATGATATGATTAACAACAAAATGATGTTCCATGCTACAGTGGCTACTGAGACTGAATTCTTCAGAGTGAAGGTTTTTGATGCAGCCCTAAAGAACAAATTCATTCCAAAAAGGATCATTGCAATAACTGATTATTTTGGCTTCAATGGATTTCTGGAGATATACAGCACTTACTCTGTGTCTGATGTGAATGTTAACCAAGCAATGGTTATCCCAAATACACTGAAGCAAAGAGCCAATGCAACTCCTAAAATCAAGGATCTTTTCTCACAAACGAAAGGGACATATGTGAATGGAGAGTTTATGGTATTTAAGGTGAGCCACTGCATTAATTGTAAAATTTATTTTGCAATCTGAGATTTTAAGTTTTAACTTGTCATTGGAATTTACTCAACTTACTCAACACAGGAAGTAACTGCCTTTCATGTCAGTAAGAGTTCTCTAAGACTTCCTTACTTTGGAGACAGGGATATTCTCTTACCATTCTTCTCAAGGTGACATGAAAATTCTTTAAAAGGTAATCCTTCAATACCCTTTGTCATATTTCCTGGTTGTGCCAACCCATCTATAGCCATCCTATTCCCAGACACTGTTCAGTTTATACCACACTTTCTTTTTAGAGTTTGTTTCTTTAGGAGGTACCTTACTCATATTCTTGGCAACTCAGTTGTAAATGAAGAATCATCCATAACCTAGGTACAGTTGGAGATGATGAGACTAAAAAAAAAAACCCAAGTGATTATTGTGCCCTAAAATAAAGCCATGTCCAACAAGCCAGAATTGTATCTTTAAGCTGTTCTCATTATCATATTCTTTATGTTTTATCAAGATATTCTGAAGGAGTTACTAATGTTTTTAAAAATTAGAGAAAGAGGAATTTAACACACTAGTTTAATTTCACAATTTATAACAAGGCACAGTGAGGCTGTGACATTCTGGTGTTTCTTTACATGCCAGTGCATCACTTCATCTGTGCTCTTGTTCAATGCATGATTTCATAATTTATTGTGTAAGAATCAGTCATGGCTTTTTACTTTAATGTATGCTGTTTTTGTCTGTGCTGGAACATCTCCTTACATGATTAATAAGTAAGCTAAGTGGGACACAAACTACAATACCAGAACAAAATGCTGTAGATTTAACCTTTGAGGGATTAGGAAGGCATAGAGTGAATCCATGTGTGCACTGAGCAAAAGTAATCTATTTAAAAAGTGTTTGTGTGTGTGTGTGTGTCTGTCTGTCTGTCTTTCTGGATGACCGGCAGGCTGTGCTTATCTATTTGTTTCTCATAATATATCTTTTTTTATAATTTTCAGACAAAGCTGCATGTTTTTATTATTTTTTAATTTAAATTTAAATTAGAAACAAGGTAGCTTCACACGTCAATCCCAGGTCCCTCTCCCTTTACCTCCCTCATCCTTTGTCCTCCCACCAACCCCCCCAATGCCCCTTCATTTCCCCAAGGAGAGTGAGGCACTCCATGGGAGTGACCATAGTCTGTCATTTCATCCAGGGCGGGGCCTAGACACTCCCAAGAGTCCAGAGTGGGAGTGCATCTCACATTGCTGGATGGGCACCCAAAGCCCATTTGTATGCCAGGGATAAATGCTGATCTACTACCCAAGGCCCAATAGATTGCCTAGGTCTCCTCGCTGACAACCACATTCAGGGGGTCTTGATCAGTCCCATGCTGGATTCCCAGTCGTCAGTCTAGGATTCAAAAGCTAAGACTTGTCAGGTCAGCTGTTTCTTGGAGTTAAACAAGCCCAGTCTTAACCCCTTGGCTCATCAGTCCTCCCTCTCTGTCACTGGGTTCCTTGAGTTCAGCTCAGTGTTTAGTTGTAGGAGTCTGCCTCTGCTTCCATCAGCCATTTAATGAAGGTGCTGTTTCCCAGACTCTCTGGCAGTGGGATTATAGAATGGCACTCCCCAGATCTATGTCTAAAATCCATATATGAGAGAATACATACCATGTTTGTCTTTTTGTGTCTGGGTTACCTCACTCAGGATGATTTCTTCTAGTGCCATCCATTTGCCTGAAATTTGCAGGATTCCATTGTTTTTCTCTGCTGAATAGTACTCCATTGTGTAAATGTACCACATTTTCTCTATCCACTTTTCAGGTGAGGGGCATCTAGGTTGCTTCCAAGTTCTGGCTATTACAAATAATGCTGCTATGAACATAGTGGAACAGATGTCCTTGTTGTATGAATATGCATCTTTTGGATATATGCCTAAGAGTGGAGTTGCTGGGTCTTGTGGTAGCCTTATTCCCATTTTCCTGAGGAATCTCCATACTGATTTCCAAAGTGGCTGTACAAGATGGCACTCCCACCAGCAGTGGAGGAGTGTGCCCCATTCTCTACCACCTCTCCAGCATAAACTGTCCTTGGTGTTTTTGATTTTAGCCATTTTGACAGGAGTAAGATGGTATCTCAGAGTTGTTTTGATTTACATTTCTTGGATGGCTAGAGATGTTGAGCACTTTCTCAAGTGCCTCTCAGACATTTTAGACTCCTTTATTGAGAATTCTCTATGTAGTTCTGTAGCCCACTTTTTAATTGGATCCTTTGGTGTTTTGGAGACTTGCTTATTGAGTTTTTTGTAAATTTTGGAGATCAGCCCTCTGTCAGAGGTGGGGTTAGTGTATATATTTTCCCCTTCTGGGGGGCTGCCTTTTTGTCTTTTTGACTATGTCCGTTGCCTTACAGAAGCTTCTCAGATTTGGAGGTCCCATGTATTAAATGTTGACCTCACTGTCTGTGCTACTAGTGTAATGTTCAGGAAGCTGTCTTCTGTACCAATTTGTTCCAGGGTACCATCCACTTTCTCTTCTAAGTGTTTCAGTGTGGCTGGATTTATGTTGAGGACTTTGATCCATTTGGACTTAAGTTTTGTGCATGGCGACAGGCATGAATCTATCCACATTCTTCTACATGCCAGCATCCAAGTATGCCAGTACCATTTGTTGAAGATGCTTTCTTTATTCCATTGTATATTTTTAGCTTCTTTATCAAAGACCAGATGTTCATACATGTATGTGTTAATATCAGGGTGTTCATTTTGATTCCATTGGTCTACCTATCTATTTTTGTGCTAATACCAAGCTGTTTTCAGGACTACAGCTCTATAATAGAGCTTGAAGTCAGGGATGCTGTTGCCTCCAGATGTTTCTTTGTTGAATAAGGTTGTTTTAGTTATCCTGGGTCTTTTGTTTTTCCATACAAAATTGATTATTGTTCTTTCATGTTCTGTGAAGAATTGTGTTGGTATTTTAATGGGGATCGCATTGAATCTGTAGATTGCTTTTGGCAGGATTGCCATTTTTACTACATTGATCCAACCTATCCAAGAGCATGGCAGATCTTTCCATTTTCTGTTGTCTTCTTTAATTGCTTTCTTTAAAGATTCAAAGTTCTTGTGATACAGGTCTTTCACTTCTTTAGTTAGTGTTACCCAAGGTATTTTATGTTGTTTGTGGTAACTGTAAAGTGTGATGTTTCTCTGATTTCTTTCTCAGCCCTTTTATTGTCTGTATATAGTACGGATACTGATTTTTTTGAGTTGATCTTGTAACCTGCCACATTTCTGAAAGTATTTATCAGCTGTAGGAGTTACCTGGTAGAGTTTTAGTCACTTATTTAAATTATCATATCATCTGCAAATAGTGAAAGTTTGACTTCTTCCTTTCCAATTTGTATCCCCTTGATCTACTTTTGTTGCTCTAGCTAGAACTTCAAGTACAGTATTGAAATGGTATGGAGAGAGTAGACAGCCTTATCTTGTACCTGATTTTAGCAGAATCGTGTTGAGTTTCTGTCCATTAAGTTTGATGTTGGCTGTTGGTTTGCAGGATATAGCTTTTGTTATGTTTTGGTATGTTCCTGTTATCCTGGATCTCTTCAAGACCTTTATCATGAAGGGGTGTTGAATTTTGTCAAAGACTTTTTGTGCATCTAGTGAGATGATCATGTGATTTTTGTTTCTCAGCTTGTTTATATGGTGGATTACATTGATGGATTTTCATATGTTGAACCATCCTTGCATCCCTGGGATGAAAACTACTTGATCGTGGTGAATGATTGTTTTGATGTGTTCTTGGATCCTATTTGCCAGTATTTTATTGCATATTTTTGAATCAATGTTCATGAGGGAGATTGGTCTGAAGTTCTCTTTCTTAGTTGTGTTTTTGTGTGGCTTGGGTATCAAAGTTATTGAAGCCTGGTAGAAAGAGTTTGGCAAAGACCCTTCTGCTACTATTGCATGGAATATTTGAGAAGAATTAGTATAAGCAGTTATTTAAATTCCTGGTAGAATTATGCACAGAGGCCATTTGGACCTGGGCTTTTATTGGTTGGGAGACTTTTGATGACTGCCTCTATTTCCATAGGGGTTATAGGTCAATCTAAATTGCTTATCTGTTCTTGATTTAATTTTGGCAAGTGATAGCTATCCACAAATTTGTCAGTAAATTTTCTTATTTTGTGGAATACAGGTTTTCAAAGGATGACCTGATGATTCTTTGAATTTCCTCAGAGTTCGTTGTTATGTCCCCCTTTTTGTTTCTGATTTTGTTAATTTGCATGTTCACACTCTGCCGTTCAGTAAGTTTGGACAAAAGTTTGTCTATCTTGATTTTCTCAAATAACCAACTCTTTGTTGCATTGATACTTTGTATTGATTTCCTAGTTTCTACTTTATTGAGTTCAGCCCTCAGTTTGATTATTTCCTGGTGTCTACTCCTCCTGTGTGAGTAGTTCTTTGTGTTCTAGAGCTTTCAGCTGTGCTGTTAATTCTCTAGTTTCCTCATGTGGTCACTTAGTGCTATGAACTTCCCTCGTAGAACTGCTTTCAAAGTGTCCCGTTGGTTTGGGTATGTTGTGTCTTCATTGTCATCAAATTCTAGAAAGTCTTAATTTCTTTTTTTATTTCTTCTTTGACCCATGAATGGTGCAATTCTGCATTATTCAATTTCCGTAAGTTTGCAGGTTTTCTGCAATTTGTGTTGTTGTTGAATTCTAATTTTAACGCATGATGACCTGATAAGATACATGGAGTTATTCCAATTTTTTTGTACCTGTTGAGATTTGATATGTTGCCAAGTATGTAGTCGATTTTTGAGAAGGTTCCGTGTGGTGCTGAGAAGAAGTTATATTCTTTTTTATTTGGATGGAATGTTCTATAGATGTCTGTTAATCCCAACTGGATCATAACTTCCATTAGCCCCTTTGCTTCTTTGTTAAGTTTCTGTCTGGTATTCCTGTCTAGTGGTGAGAGTGGGGTGTTGAAATCTCCCACTATAAGTGTGTGAGGCTTTATATGTGATTTGAGTTTTAGTAATGTTTCTTTTACGAACATGGATACCTTTGTATTTGAGGCAAAGATGTTCAGAATTGAAACCTCATCTTGCATTTCTCCTGTGATTAGTATGTAATGACCTCCTTCATCTCTTTTGATTGATTTTATTTTAAAGTCTAATTTGTTAGATATTAGGATTGCTACCCCTACTTGTTTCTTGGGTCCATTTGATTGGAAAATCTTTGTCCAACCTTTAACTCTGAGGTAAAGTCTGTCTTTGAGGCTGAGGTGTGTTTCCTATATGCAGCAAAAGGATGGGTTCTGTCTTCGAATCCATTCTGCTAGCCTGTGTCTTTTTATGAGCTAGTTAAGACCATTAATATTGAGGGATATTAGTGACCATTGATTGCTCATTCTTCTTTGATTTGAAATGGTTGTTGGTGGTGGAATTATGTGTGGAAGGCTCACTGGTGGTGCAGGCACTGGTCCCCTAGTCCCGTTGGTGGAAGAGAAGACCAGGAATCTGGGGTGCTGGTGCGTAGGCTCTTGAAGGGAGGGGAGACTCTGTAGCAGTCCCCTGGAAGTCCCCAAGCACTGGAAGGCAGGCCAGGATACAGGGCCTGGTTTACCTGGTCCGTTGGTGGAAAATAAAACCAGGATTCTGGGGTGCATAGGATCCTCCCGGGAGGGAAGGCTCTGTGGCAGTCCCCAGGCAGTCCTTAGGCACTGGAAGGCAGGCCAGGATACAGGGTCTGGTTTACCTGGTCCACTGGTCCCATTGGTGGGGGAGAAGACCAGGAATCTGGGGTACGTGGCTCCCACCAGAAAGGGAGGCTCTGTAGCCTGGATATATCTTTTTTATGTCTGATAGTGTGATCATTTTATTTTATTCTTGCTGGATTGTCTTTTTATTCACCTGTTTCTTTTCTTAAGACAGATGAGAAAGGTGTGGACTCAGAAAGGTAGAAAGGAGAGGAATATCCAGGAAGAGGCGGGGAGGAAAAAGTATGATCAGAACATGTTCTTTGAAAATAACGTTATTTTCAATAAAAATTAAAATAAAGAAAATAAAAAGGACTTATAATAATGTTTCTCAGATACACAATGAGGCCTAAGTGCATTTTCTTCAAAGGCCCCCTATGTATACATAAGGAACCAGCAGTGGTAACTAAATGGGTTTTGGCTTATATTTAGTTTTTCATTTTTGACCTCTTACTTGGGAACCTTATGAAACCTCAGCTAGTCTGATATATTATCACTAGTACTTAGTAAGATACTCATTGTCCTAAAGACTCCCAGCATATGAAGTCCTCAGGTAGGTAAAACTTAACATTGGCTTCCAAGGGCCGCACTGATGGCTCAGTCATTAAAGGCTAGGCTCACAAAACCTCCAGAGTGACTTCCAAGAAAAGATTTGTTCACCAGAACACCTTAAACTCCTTTGTTCCTATAATTCTATTCTTTCAGTTGTTTCTTTATATTGTCTGTGAGGGTTGAGAGGAAACACAAAGGCCATGAAAGTATTGTGAAGTCAGAAGAGAAGCTTCACAAGTGAGTACAGTCCTTCTACCATGAGTCCTGATAATGGAGCCCAGGTAGTCAGGCTTGCTAACAACACCATTACCCTTACCCACTGAGCCATCTCACTGGCCCTTGTGTCTGTGATTCTAAACCTAAGAGCCATACTTGTTTTGTCAAGGACAGGTTTATTATGACACTCTATTTCTCATAGGTGTGACAAGTTTTGACATATTTCCTAAAGCATGAAACTTAACTTGTTTTTCAGAAAAATGAGAGGAATAACTTCATTTGCTATGGCATAGAAGATGACACCGGGAGAATGGAAGTGGTTGTCTATGGACGGCTGACCAATATCAAGTGTGACCCAGGGAATAAACTTCGGCTTGTTTGCTTTGAATTGTCCTCAAGTGAAGACACATGGCAGCTGAGGTCTGTAAGGCACAGTTATATGCAGGTGTGTACTCTGGGAAATACCATTCTTCCTAAGAATCATATTTTTTAATACTCTAGTAAAACTTGACTGTTGGCATTACATAGAAAATCCAACAAGTGGAGGAAAAATTAACTTGTGAATTTGATAAATAAACTTCCTTCCATTATATTTTAAGTAAGGATTTTTAAATCATAATACAGAAAATAAATTCAGAAATATTCAAATGTTTATAAATGTTTAGCTAAATAATAGAAACTATTTCATTTGGTGGAACTCAGGTTAATTGAGATGTTTGTTGCATGTGTAAAAAGTTTAACAATATTATCAAAAAAGAATAAATGCACAATGTAATGCACATGCAAATCTGATGACATCACTGACATTCTCATTAAAATAAATGTGTGCATGCTACAAGACAAAAAATATTTTGCTTGCAAAAAAATATGTTTGTTTCAAATTCTGATGCTCTGATTTTTCAAATTTACTAAAGACTAAAACACAAAGAACTTAGGGTCTTCATCTATAACATTCAAATAATTTCTGTTGCAGAAGATCAGGAACAGAAATGTTTAGTTCCCAAGGCTGCCCTGAGCAAATCTGACCAAAATATGCTATAAGGGATCACCTGTTCATTCACATAGAACCGCTCTTACAGTACCATCACTCTCAGACCCTCAGGCAGAGTTCCAAACCTTCCCAGTGGCAACTCCAACAGCAAAGCCTTTTCTCACTCTTCCCAACCTGTAGTTCAGTGAGACTCTGCAACTCAGTCTTTACCTCAGGTACCTCAGCTCTTTCCTCTCCACTATAGCTTTGTGCTCAAGCCTGTAGGAGTGACTAGGTAGTTTCATAGTCCCAAACAAGGAAACAAAGGTGATTCCAAGCACAGAGAGGCATTGCAGGAGATAGGCCAGAGTGAGAAAAGGGATGTGACTCATGCTGACTAGTCAGCAGGAACGTGGAGAGAAGTGAGGAGCCATCTGCATTTCAACTGATCTAACCTCAGCGTTTTCTTCTTTAAGGTCATCAAAGTCAGAAGAAAAGTCTCTCAGCACTGATACAATTATGAAAACCTCCCTAGAACCATACTCCTGAAAACCTGGATGCCAAGGATATTGTTAACAGATATAACATTCAAGTCCAAAATGTAAATGTATATATTACCTTTTGAAATGCATACCAATTAAAGCCAGCTCTTTGATTGTTTGTTTCTCTCTTTGTGTTCCAAGACAGGGTTTCACTGTTTAGTGCTTAATATCCTGAAAATCACTTTGTAAACTAGGCCGGCCTCAAATTCAGAGATGTTCCAGCTTCTGAGTCCCTTTTGCTGGGATTCAAGGCCTGCAGCCACCACAGCCCAGCCTGCTCTTAATTCTAGGAAACAGTGCTTCATTCTATTCTTTATACATTTTGTATTAATCTAAATTTCATGTTTGTGTATATAATCTTTATCATTGGTAATCTATAAGTTTAAAAAACTTAAAAAAACTCACATTTTCTATAAAGCAGTGATTCCCTGGGAATATCTTTCAACCATTTGAGAGTTGCTGTAAAATAAAAAGTTAGTGGTCTCCAGATAAATCTGTGGAATACAGGTTTTAAGTGTGTTGTTTAAGGACAAATCATGTTAAAGAACAAATAGACTGTGTCCTGCCCAGAAAAGCCAAGGCATTAAAAAGACACAGGAGAAGTTTGAATTCAGCCTTGAGTTCAGTTTCCAAAACTAGTATGCTGAGGACAGGACAAGATTTGACCCATTTTGCTGAGTAAATGTGAGTGTGTTATACAGTTTAACTACTTAAGCAAAGAATCCCCCAAAGTGGGGTGTTAAGAGTAGGGAAAAATATTTGCAGCAGTAAAGAATTTCAACTCCAATTCTAGTATGAAATATGTCACCAGAAATCCTGAGAGCAAATGAGCAAGCCCTATGACAAAGGAATTAAGAAATTAGTCAGGATTCCCAGAGGGGCCTTTCTGGAGTATTGTAAACTCTCTCCCTGATCTGAAAACACACCAGACCAAAGCAAATTAAGGAGGAACAGGTTTAATTTTGCTCACAGTTTAGTGGTAGAGGTGAGTGAGATGGAGAGTCACATTGTGATCATAGCAGGATGCAGAAGGAGGTGAGTTGCAGAGCAGAGTGCTCTGTGTGTGTCTCTGTATCTCCCTATGTCTCTCTCTCTCTTTTTATTCAATTATAAATCTAAATCTATTCTATTCGACTATACCACCCACACTTAAGATGAGTGTTTCAAATTCCTAACCCCATCTAGAAAGCCCCTCATGTACATTCGAAAGGTATTCTCATGAGTGATTCTAGATCCTGTCTGGTTCACAATCAATACGAATTGTCACAGGGGGCAACGATCTGACATGGAGGTAAGGGCAAAGAAAAGGTGGGAATAGAAGAAATAATGGCAGGAAGACATAAGAGAAAAGGATGAGTGCAACTCTCATCTTGGAAATCCATATTTTATTTCCCATTCTGATAATCCTGAAAATTTGGGCTTAATAGATTATGTTTAGTTGATGATCACTTCCCATAAATAAATCAATGTTACTAGAAAATGATTTGTGGAAGGCAATTATGTTTGTTCTTCCTTTATTATTTGTTTTGTTTTAGCTTTGTTCTTCCAGCACATGAGGATGAGACAGGCTAGCATGGGGAAGAGCTTAGACACTTGAGACTCCACTTTTCTTGTCCAATAACCACAAGTGCACTTTCCAGCCAGAGACTACCATCTGTATCTCCTGTGTACACACAATATTCTTCTCACAATATAACTGAAAACTGTTTGACCACATGGACACACACATATATCAGGTTGCAAATATATATATATATATGTACATATATATATTGCAAACAGTGAAATTATTACTGTCCTTAGAAATATTTCATAAAATACTTATTTATATTCAATGTGTCACAGAACCTTCTTGATACAAAGAAAGATGATCTGACCCAGCCCAGACTAGTTTGACTACCTGTACAAGACAAACTCTATACTCAAAGGGAGTTTTTATGATGAATATACTATTTGCCACTTCTTCCTATGTATAATTGTGTGTATATAATCAAAATAAAATACTGTGTGGAAAGGGATGTGTAGAGGAAGGAAATGCCTACCTAACCTAAGCCCATCAGTTGAACTGAAGATTCACCTGTCTCACACCTTTTCAGCAACCCAACTCCTCCTTCTCTTGAACTCCATGAAAAGGGCTCCAAAGAAAATCTCAGGCCCTTGAGCCCCCTTCCTCATGTGGCTCACTGTTGCTCTTCATGAATATTCATGTCTGGTCTGTACTGTCACTTTGCATGAATAAAGTTTCGCTGCTTCTTTACAATCTGTGTGAGACTTTATCCCAAATCTTGGAATGAAAATAGAAGGTTTTGAAAACACCAGGCTTGGGTTATGACCAACAGCATATCCTGTAACAAAGATACAGAAAGAAACCTCATGCCAAAGATTAGGTCTTGGATTGCCAAGCTTTCAACACTCAGTATTACATTTATTTTACTTACATAACACTTAATCTGTAGTGTCCTGACACAACACTAAACAGACTAAGACAGAAGGAAATTATGTATTTTCCATAATAGTAAGAAACAGAGAATTGTTTCTTATACAGAACTAAAGTTTCAATTTGATCAACAAATGCTGTGCAACAAAGATGAGAGTAACAGTGCCAAATCTACCTATATACAGTAGGCTGGAACTATAGTATATCTATGTTGTATAATATTTCTGGAGAGATATAAACAAATATCTACTAACCCCAAGGCAAAGTTCAGATATAACTGAAGTCTGATTTGGTGAACCAATGAGATTTATATTTATTGTGGTTCTTATAGTAATATTGACAAGGTGTTGCTTGCAGGAACAGAAATGACTCACAGATAGCTTTTTCACCTAAAGGAGTAACTGCTCATAGTAGCTAGAAACCTAGCGGATCCTTGACAGCCTAAGGACAGTATAACACATTGAAAAGTGTTCTTTTCAGGTAGTTCAGTTGCTCTGAATCTCTTCCAGGTATATTTGTTGGTCTCCACTTTGTCCAGGCATATTGGCTTGTCTGAGAGTTCCTAGCAACACTCCTTACAGTCTGTATGTTCCTGAGGATGGAAGACCCTGTTATATCTGGGTCCAGGTACTTTCTGAAGCCTCTAAGTTGTTTTCTCCTTGACTTTAATGATCTTCCTTACAGGATGGGAGTTTCCTCTCATTCTTAAATATACTGCTACTCTGCATGTCTTAACAAACTTTCCTCCAAGAAAAGTGCAAGATTGAGATCTTGGAGTAAACTGCAGTCTCTCTCATGTTTACATAAGGACTCAACTCCTCTCCTGCCTGAACTTGTGCCACTTACAGTACAGAGAAGACCAGAAGCATTGTTGTCAGTTTCTTTTTGAGTTTGGAACAACAGAAAAAAATAGAGTACTTGGCATAATGATGGCACCATTATTACAGTGGTAACCAACTGCTGTCTGATTGAATTTGAGGTGTGGTATGTAAGAGAAAATTCATACCTAGCACTGCACACCTCATCAAACACCTCATTACCAGGAATTGGTTACCTCTTGTTGAATATTTGGTCAAAGGGATTCCATAGATCTCCTTCAAATATTGCTGGCTCTTGTTTGCTTGTTTTTTTATTTGTGTGTGTGTCTGTGTGTGTATGTGTGTGTGATTGTGTGTGTGTTTGTGTGTGTGTGTGTGAGAGAGAGAGAGAGAGAGAGAGAGAGAGAGAGAGAAGAGAGAAGAGAGAGAGAGCATGTTGATGATGTTGAACAATAGGGAGATAGGGAAAACCTGGGAGGAGTTGGGAAATGGAATAGACTATGGAAATTTTTACTATATGAATTTATATTTATAAAAGCCAGTAAGTACCAAAAAGGAAAAAGAAAAAGGAACCAACAGAAGTGGCACCATGACAGCAAAGGTGCATGCAGCAGAGCAGCAGTGACATTCAGGCAGTCAGCAGGAGAAATAATCATTGGTGACACTGAAGGGTTTCTGAAGGTCAGCTAAACAATATAAGGATGGTGGTCTCAACATGACACAGCAGGATGGCAGAAATAGAGAAGAGGATAAAGTACCAAAAGAATGGACAATTAGAGGTGAAAAACTGTAGGTAATGGCCATATGAAGATTTCCTGATAGTTGTTGAGCTTTTGAAGTCAAGGTCCTAAGGTACCTTAGACCTAGAATCGTTAACACTGGTTTCTATCCAAGACTGAAAACTCCCCAAACCTGAGCTCTCCATGAAGCTATAATTCTAGGCCAAGTGAATGCTGAGTGCCTAAGCCTTCAAGAGTTATAAAAGTTGGAAAGCAAAGGGTATGGATGGCTTAGGTCTGTCTATACAAGAGCTATAGAACCCTGATGCCCAAGACTTGTAAGCAAACTGCAGCACTAGAAGGCAGGACTTGTAACTTCTCCTGCCCACCTGCTAAATTCTCTCTGTCAAAACCAAAGGGCACAAGAGCTGCCCAAGGCCAGTTTTGAAAACCTTCTTGCATGCCTACGTGTGCATCCAGGTAAAGCATGCGACCCTAACCTGCCAAATGATGTCACCCCAAGAACATGATCCTGCTTGCACATCAGCTGGAGTGTTCTCACCACCATCCACTGCCTGGTACCATTTTTACAGTGTCTCAAATTACATGAGACACCAAAGAGTCTTCGCTGTCCTTGACAGGAAAGTTCATTTCAGGTCCCTGATGTTACTAACACCTAAGAGATTTGCCACAGTTGTCAAGGCTTTCATGGTGTTATTACACAGGCCCACTATACCTGCTGGGTTCATCCATAATACCATAGATAGTATAGAAATGCTAAGGACTCATTAACTTAATCACTAAAGGAAAGCAGTTTAGCTGCTGTCCAGATAGCAGCTAATTCTTTCCCATTTATCTATCATTACATTTGCAAGTGTGTGACAAAATCCTTCTTGTGTTATTTCAGACTGGGGGAACTATTAATAAATGAGGGGATGATTTAGTAAGAGCTAAAACAAAAAATAGTTGCATTTGATGTCTTATGCCCAAGAAATGTGTTTAGTTCTTGTTTGCAATAGACACCTGCTGAATTCTCCTCCTGCCACCACCACCCTGAGTGGAGAGGAGGGAGAAATATCTGGGTGACTCATACTTTCCCTTTCAGCTGTTCCCTTTATTCCGAGGAATGTGTTTCTTAGTGACCCACAGATAAGCCTGTTGGACATAAAGTCTTATGGTTGGAACATCCACCTATGAAGACATGTAAGAAAAACAACTGAGCACAACAGACCCTTATTTTTCATGCTAAACTAAGTAAAGTGTATGCAGTTAGGAGAAAATCAGATCTTGCTAACTGGGGAAATCAAAAGCTAAGAACAATGGGTGGAGCCTTCACTTTAGTATCCCTACTCTCCCAGGAACAGCAGAGTGCAAGACATTCAAGATTGAGCAACTTGAAATGAAGTGAAATGAGTGACCAATGTGATTTTTCCCATCTTTAAAAATGCTTCATGTTCTTGGCAGTCGAAGGATTGCGACATCCCTGTTTTATCTTCTTACCCAAATAAATCTCTCCATGCTTCCTGCCTTGCAGGCAAACTAGGATCTGGACATTGCTGAAGAAATTTCCAGGAAGGTGAGTCCTGCCCCCTGCTATGTAGTTGAGAGCTCCCTGAGTCCCATTAGGGAACAGGGAAATCAGAACAGCTTCCTTCAGTGGAGACTGGAAGGAGACAGGGCTGGTGCCAACTGTGTCCTGGTAGCGAACTCTTAACAGCTAGGTTCTGAAGCTTCCGCAGACATCTCTATTCCACTTTTACAGGGCCTGAGACAGCAAAATTGCTTTTTGGTTATGGTTGATAATAAAATAATTTTCTAAGAGTAAGTAGGAGGAACTGGAAAAGGAGAAGCCTTTAGTTATCTTGGCTGGTAAGAAGTAACTACTTGGCTGTGTGAAACAACTGGTTAAACAATAGGATAGTGACATCAAAAAATTACTGTGAAACCGTGTTTAGTGAAAATGTATCAGGACTTAGAACTGCAACCTAGTATTCTGATATTGAGCAGCATGAAAAACAGTAGACATGTATATTTCAAAATTCCACAGATTCCCATAGTTATTCAAGTCCATCTTTTTTGATCATCCACAAACATATCATTATCTTTTTATCAGTAGTATCTCAATCACAGTGAGTTGTTTTCAGCATCTTGAAAGTAGTTTGGTTTCTTTACCTTTAGATTGTTTTATTTCTTTCTGGAGGAAAATGTAGGGGCCTGAGGAAGAGTTAATTAGAAATGTATCTCTATTGCTTGCTTTTAGAATATTTTAAAGGCATTCTATGTATGATTTGAGTTCTTAATGTGTACTGAACAGAGTATTTTAGACTATGTATGCATGTATGTAAGGCTATCTCTTGGTGAATCATTTATGTTTCTCAAACATTCTAATTTGTTTGGCATATGTTTACACTGTGTTAATTTAGTATTTAAGAAGTATACTGCTGTATCTATCAGAATATTGTGGTTTTACTCAAGTTCATAGATGAGTTTGCTCTTTCACATTTAGAACAAAACATATTTTATGTTACTACTTATTATGGTCCTATGAAGAGACACCAAATACCACACACTATTATAGGTATACAAATCTTAATTTAAACTATTTTATCTTTCAAAGGGTATGTTCTGGTTGGTTTTTGTCAACTTGACACAAGAAAAATTATCTGAAAAGAGATATGAGTTGAGAAAAAATTTCCTTCAAAATTGGCTGTAGGAAAGTATGTAAGACATATTCTTGATTAATGATTGATGTGAGTGTGCACCCCGTTGGGGATTGTGCCACTCCTGTGCTGAGCAAACCATGAGGATCAAGCAATTAATCAATGTTCCTCATGGCTTCTGCTTCAGTTCCTGACTCCAGGTTCCAGCCTTGAGTTCCTTCTCTGACGTCCTTCAATAAAGGACTGTGATATGGAATGTAAAATGAAATGAACCCTTGTCAACCCAAGTTGGTTTGGGTCATGGTGTTTTATCACAGCTATAGAACATGTACCCAAGAGAGGAATTGATACTGGGTTTGTGGGATATTATTGTGACACACCTATGTTTAAGAAGGATTATGAAAGAAGTTTGCAACTTTGGAATATAAAAGTTATTGAGTGATGAGAGATTAATGAACTATTTGGGGATTTAGAGGATAAAGCAGAGGACAGTGGAGATGATGAAAACCTGGCTTGGACATTTCAAAAGGAAGGTTGAGAGTCCCCTGAACAATCTACTAAGGCCACACAATATTTTGAAATACAAATCTGATTCTGGTCACCTGGGACTCAAAATTGGCTGTGATCAAGAAGGGACCAGCACTATTGAAGTATAAACTGGGAAATGTCTTCTCAATGTCAGTACACAGAATTTGAAGTTGTGGTCCAGATTGCGACAAGTCTGCACCTTGTGCTGACAACCACACATGGCAATGTGAAATACTCTCTCAGTTGGTACTGTTTTGGAGGCATGAAGAAGTGATGGGAAATAGCTGAGTCTTGTCACTGTGAAAGACCATGAAAGGTCATTGGTGAAGATACAGCCCAGGTGCATTGGGGACCCCAGAATTTCTGAGATGGCAGTACCCTGGGATGTCCACCAAGGATAGAAGCAGGTGTGGAGAGAGGTAGCTTAAACATAGGAAAACCACTGTGTGTGTTTGGATGGAAGAGTAGGAGAAATGGAGCAGCCAAAGCCCTTCAGAGCCCAGAGAATCGATTTACACTGTTGAATTTTGATTCTGCTTTGATTTGAATGTAAGTATGACTTGGTTTTGCCCTCTTGGAATTGCAAGGTATGCAGATTATTTTTTAATTTCTAAGATCTCACCGTTGAGATACTTCAAATTTTTAAAGACTTTGGAACTTTAGAGATACTTTGTATATTTTATTAGAGAGGAGGCTTTGATATTTAGGTGTTTTAAAGAGACTGAACATTGAAAGTGTTTAGCTTTTTAACAGTGTGGCTGAACATGTGTTGATATCCAGAATCTAATGGTAATACATTGGCATTGATGCATGTATACTACACTGTGTAATGCTGGAAATTCTATAGAGGTTGGTATGATTAGAGCAAATTCAAAATCATAACACTTCCTATCAAAACAAATGTTCTCATATAATTGGAATCCTTTTCCACATAGTCTCTGTCATCACATATCTGGTTGTATTAGAAATAGTTGTGTTTTTACAAATACCAACCCAATAAAATCTTTTTATTTTAATTATTTCTCAGTTCTGAAGATCAGTATTGCATAAAAATTGGAATGCTCTTCTGAAGAAGGGAGTTTTACTTTAGAGAATCAGTTTTGATCTTCAAAATGTAGATGTTCTATATTTAGTGTCTTACCACTTACAGAGTATGTCTTTTTCTTAGTACTCTTCATTTTCCCTGTCATGTGTCCTTGCGTGAATATTCTATTCATCTTTGTGTTTCTTTGAGTATGGAGGATGCTCAGTTTTTCTCTAAAAAAGGAAGCAATTGACAGTCCTAAAATTTTAATATCCAATTAAACTGAGGTCCATAAAATCATGCTGGACTCATGAAATAATATAAAGTGAATTAGAATATCGGACTCATTCCATTCTCTGAAGATGATCAAGGAAGTATATAAAATGTAAATGAGCTACAAAGCAGGACACTCAGTGTACTGGGGAATTGTGGGACAGAAAGCAAATATTTTGTAACTTTTAATTTTCTAATTTTGTTACAAATTTCTACAATGATGGTTGAAAAACCTGTGGACATAATAGTAAATTTAATTTTACTCCTATTTAGCAGCATAAAATTAGTAGGTTCTCGTCTAGAGACTTTTAGTAGTCTAGTCACAGGTTTTCATTCTCAGTAATGTTTCTAGGAATGTGTTTCAACTCCTACAGGTCTTAGATCAATCACAAAATGGATGGTCAGTCCCACAGCATTCATGCTACTATTGTAACCAGTGAGCACAGATTGACAGACTGGTTGTTGCTGTACCTCCAAGTATCCACAACTGAGTAAAGATAATGATTATTTTATTCCTCCAGTATTATACATAGTATCTTCTAGAAGTGGATAATCTAGTCAGTAGGGATGAGGCTTCCAGGTGAGTATCAACTTGATTTCTCCATGTTATAGAAGGTGGTGTCTTCTGTAATAATCTTATTGTGAAGTTCTGGCATATAAACAAGAACATTGCCTGGAGGCTATGTGTTGGGGATCTATGAGAACTGACTGACCAACAATTTCAAGAGAGCAAATCATCCTTAATACTGGACTTTTTGTTAATCTGTTGTGTGTATTAGAAACACTGTTGCCAAATTACAGGATATCTTCATGTGAATTTTTGATATATATTCAGATAGAATGATAAATATAGGTAGATTGATATTGAATATATATATATTGGAAGCTTCTACAGCAATAGCTTTCCATCTTAGTTTTGGAAATAAAATTAGTGTTAGTTAGTCCTTTCTCTATACTTCTATTACCTTATACTCCCATCATCCATCCCATTTAACTCTTAAATTTTCAAAGTTTATGAAAAGTAGACAGAAAAGGAATGTGAGAATGGTGTTCCAAGCACTGAAAAATAAATTAGATATACCATAAACCTTGAAAATAGAAGTATAATTTACGTATTTTGAAGCATATGATCACAGGTATAAAAATAAACAAAATGGAAGACTGGAGATTGTTCAAGGGCTTCTAATATATTTTAGCAGAAAAGAATATTTTTAATAAATTAGGAAAACATTAAAAGATCTGGGGAGGATTTAAGCATGTCTTGTAGGTAAAAAATTGTGTCTATGAACAAATAAGAATCACTAAGTCAAGCCTGAAAAGATAAAAATCAAGAAACTACTGACACAATTCCATCCAATAAATTCTAGGGTACTGCTCAGAAATGTATGTAGTTGTTTGGGAAATTGACAGTGATGTGAGCACAAAGGACCCAAAGAACACAAGCCCAGGAGAGACAGGATGCTAAAATGAGGGGTGTTTGAGGGGAATCCTAGTAGACAGGGTCAGTGGCTCAGCATGGTCCATGTTACCTCAATCATTGTCTATTGAGGTACACTGTAATAGGATGCAGTCCATTTGCATATAGACCACTTTAGAATGGGAACAATCTGAAACCCACATGCAAATATCCAGGGATGGGTTCCAGCACCAAATAAAAATGGAAAAAGACTCCAGGATTTTACACTAACAGCCCAGATTCTAAACGCCGCAATCTTTACTTATTCTAACACTTTTCTTCCAGCACAACTGCCACTGGCCTAAGTCACCTAACAAGGCTAATGGGTAAAATTTTCTTAGACTTGTTTATTAATATGGAAGTTCTACATCCATTTTGCACAGTGACACAGCTTGTATTTAACTCTGTTTTGCTCTCACATGCAATTATGAACCTTATCAAGTGGGGTCATTCACTCACACAGGAATATCATGTTTAGAGAATTGTCTATGTATGTGTGTAATGCTGTGTCCATTTTTCTTCTTTTAGGATTGTCTATAATTTTAGAGATAATGATTGAATACAAGAAAATTGTTCTTCTAAAAGGATTTGAGAGCATGGATGACTACCAGTTTAGAACAATCGAAGCCTTCCTAAGAGCAAAAATCTAACTAATAGAATGGAGCATGAATATGACAGAATGCAGATAGCTGACCTGATGGAGGACATATTCCCAAAAGCTGCTGGACTGGACACACTGATAGCAGTGTGCCAAAACTTGAGGAACTTGAAGACCTTGCACAAAGACTTAAAATAGAAAAAGCAAAAGATAACAGAGTAGCACACTGAACATACATCTCTTTTCCAACTTTCCCAAACTCCTTGCAGTGGTCAGAGATGATGTGTCACTTTCACATTGTGGTTAGAAAACATGTGGTTAAAGCATTTCAGATGTTAACAAGTGATGATTTTGAGAAGTCCTTTCTCACAAAGGAACTTGGTATGTTTCTGGGTAGACATCTTTTACTTTTGAGGTAAATAAATTAAAAATCGGTTATTGAAATGCAATAGATTATCCAACATAGTAGATAAACTAGGAAATGATAAGGTAAAAATTAAAAAAAATATTTAAAGCATTGAAATAGAGTAAATTTAATACATCAGTAGCCATCTTGCCCAGTCATTTACCTTTTCTGGTAAGAAAAATTGGATCTAATATTTAAGTAAAAGCTTGTATTTTAGAGATGTAAAGAAGCTTCTCTTTCTAAAGTCACTGGGTTCAAAAAATATTGGGTATACTGGTAGAAAACTCTGACCCAACAGTTTAGCATAAGAAGGCTCATTAAGAGAGACCAGCATATTGAGAATACTTGAGTTACATAGAAATATGTAACCACAATATAGAAGTCAAAATCCAATATTCCTACTTTATTACATCAAATATAAAAATCATAATTCTTTCTCTTTTTCTATAATTTGGAGTTACCCTCCTTAGAAGATGATGTACTGGTATTATCTTAAAAGTATCATGTTTTTAAAATAAGTCTGATGGATATGAGAGTTGAGACAGGGTTGGACGGATAAAAACAGAAGTTCCTAAGATGGAGAAACTGGTTTCACTAAACATGGGATTTGCAAAGAATCCCCTAAAGCAGTGCATGTATCTGACTTGGTACCACTGGAGGACTTCTGGCCAGGTAGAGCCTTAGCAGCCGTGGAAAGGAAACACAGTCATCAGTACAGATGAAATACTTCTTGAAAGTGTGGCAGGATATTTGATCCCACTGTGCACCTAGAGATTACATCATTTACTGAAAAAAACAAAACAAACAACACTTGTTTCTAGGTACAGTGTGGCTCCGTCTGAGCACACACCTTTAATCCAAGAGTTTTCTACTTAAATATTACAAATAGTATTAAATAAAGTCAGCCCTAGGTCAAGAGGCAGAGCAATCAGCCAGTTGTCAGGAAGTGAACATAGGATTACTAAGAAAAAAAATAGAGAATAAGAGGAAGTCAGGAGGAGGATGGTGAGAGAGAAGGACAGGAAGTAGAAGTGAGGGACATTGAGTTTAAGAGTTTTGGGGTTGAGACACTATGGGAAAGGGGGATTTATGTGGCACCAGTACAATAGGAAGGCCAGTGGGGTACTTTCTCTGGCTCAGTTGAGCTAGTAGATTCTCACCCCAACATCTGGTTCCTGAGTCAACTTTTTTGGTAAACTTGAACTATTGAGGTTTTATTAACAACTACATGAAATCATTGTCTTTCTGTAAAATCATTAATGAAAATGGAAAAAAATATCATTTTTAAAAGAAAGAAAGTGAATAATTCTGAATGAGGTTCAACCATCTTAATCATTTCCCTGGATGTGTTGTGTTTTCTTTATCCCTATAGTTAAAAAGCAAAAGAAAGGAAAAAATAAAACTGCAGTGAAAAATGGAAAGCAAGATGAACCCAGTAGTTCCCAATCTCTTTTCATTGATAATGAATCCAACAATTATAAACCCTCTTCAAATGTAAGATGGCTAATCTCCCACCAAAAAGTTTCTACTCAAGTTCTTTACCTTCTTAATTCATTAGAAAGATGTCATACTCTATCTAGTCCAAGGTTCTAGTGAGAACAGGGTTCTAAATCAGCAAATTCACTGTGACCTGTCACTCACTTTGTGTCAGATTTTCCATGTGCTCTACCATGCACAGTATAACTCCCTCCCCACAATGATGCAAACATACAATCACTATGTGGCTTTTTCAAGACCATTTATGGAAATAGCAGTTGCTTTTGGATGTGGCCATAAAAGATTAAGCATAAATATGGACTTTGTAATTCTATAACTAATACTCTTCTGCCACCACAGGGATAAATAAGGTGAGATAAATGTAACATTTCTATAAAGCAATCCTATATGCTGTAGTTAGGGTTTCCATTGCTTCCATTCAGAGTGTTAGTCCATTATCATGGAAGGAAGCATACTGCAGGCAGACAGACTTTGTGCTGCAGAGGTAGCAGAGATTTCTAAATCTCCACAGGCAGCACCTGTGCCTATGGACAATGACACTGGGCTTGGCTTGAGCATTTGAAATATCAAGTCCCACTTCTCAGTGACACAATTCCTCCAAAAATATACATCTACTCCAACAAGGCAACATCTCTTAATAGTGCCACTCCCTGGTGACGAAGCATTGAAATCTATTAGTTTACAGGGGTCATTCTTATTCAAACCACCATGCTATAGGACATACCTGTTAACAATGAGGTATCACAGGGGTTAGAGATATTGCTCCATGGTTAATTAAGAGCACTAGCTGGTCTTTCAGAGATCCTCAGTTCAATTCCCAGCAACCACAACATGGATCACTATCATCTGTAATGAGATCTGGTGCCCTCTTCTGGCCTGCAGAGATACATGCAGACAGAATACTGAATACATAATAATTAAACAAATCTTTTTTTAAAAAAAGAATGAGGTGTGAATAATGACACAAGTACAATTGGAATCCAGCAATAAAACAAAGGTTCTTATCGCTTTGAAAGTATTATGCTTTACTTAATACTAAAGACTGTACTAGGGGCCGGGGATTAAACTGTGTGGAAAAGCACAACTCAGCATGTACAAAACCCCGGGGTTCAATTTCCTATGCTTGTGAAAATCAAGAAAGAAAGACAAACATGTTCTTTGACAAAAAGAGTAAAACACCCACAATTACTGAAGATGTCAAGAAAAGGAAGCTTACCCAGGAGCCAACTCAGCTTACAGAACATTTAGGATGCAACACACAAAAAATTAAGGTTGTCTCCAGACTCCTCATAAGCATCAGCCAACACCATCCATCAGTTCTTCACGCAAGGTACCACTTTCCTATTCCCAGTGCTTGTCCCTTCCCAAGAATATTACTAGGCTTATCACAACCATGGAAAAATGTCTCACTGGTCCCCTACTACAAAGGTTTTCCTCATATTATTAAATAGCTCATTAAGTTATCAAATCATGTATCATACCCTATATGGTATTAAAAAGGTAAGTATGTATGAAATGATTTCTAGTGCTGACAACCAATTTTCTGCTTAGGGTTGAGAAAAAAGTACAGGGCAGTCAGACAAGGATAAACACAGGAATACATCAGTCCCCATTGCCTGGTCCCTTCTCAGCCCTTCTCCCTCTGCTGGTGACCCAACCTCAGAGGTTATTTTCAACTTTCTGTGCTTTTCACAAGCAATGACACATTTCCTAAAAGATAAATGTTAAACTTGTTTTTCAGAAAAATGAGAGAATAAATGGATTGGAGATAATACCAAGCAAATGGAAGTGGTGGTCTATGGACAGCTGATTAGTATCAGGTGTGAGGCAGGCAATAAACTTCAACTTGTCTGCTTTAGATTGAGCTCAGGTGAAGACATGTGGCAGCTGAGGTCTGTAAGGCACAGTTACATGCAGGTGTGTCCTCAGAGAAGTACCATTCTTCCTAACAATCATACATACATATTTAATACTCTAGAAAATTGTAGCTATTGGCATTACATAGAAAATCCAACAAGTGGAGAGAAATTAAGCTTTGTGCATTTAATAAAATTCTTTCCATTATTTGTTAAGTAAGGGTTTTTAAATAATAGTAAAGAAAATGAATTTAGAAAGATTCAAAAGTTGTATGTTTAGCTAAATAGTAAAAACTATTTCTTTATCAAAGCAGAGAGATAATGCAAGACTCAGGTTAATTAAGATGTTTGTTTCAAATTCTGACTCTCTGATTTTTCAAATTGACCAAACACAGAAACTGAAAGAACTTGGGGTCTTCATCTGTAACATTCAAATACTCACTGTTGCATAAGACCATGAACAGAAATTTCCAGTCCCTAAGGCTGCCCTGAGCGAATCACACCACAATAAGCTAAAATCCACAATCCTTGTCATACTTAACACCTGTGTGGGGTACATTATACACTTTTTTTAAAAAGGCCACTTAACAATGTAAACAGAAGAAACATCAGGGATCACCTGTTCATTCACACAGACATGCTCTTACAGTACCATCACTTTCAGACCATCAGGCAGTGTTCCAAACCTTCCCCCAGGACAGCAGCAGCACCAGCAAAGTCGTTTCTCCCTCCTCCCAGCCTGTAGTTCAGTGAGACTCTGCAACTCAATCTTTACCTCAGGTACCTCAGTTCTTTCCTCTCCATTATAGCTTTGTGCTCAAGCCTGTAGGAGTGACTAGGTAGTTTCATAGTCCCAAACAAGGAAACAAAGGTGATTCCAAGGACAGAGAGGCATTTCAGGAGATAGGCCAGAGTGAGAAAAGGGGTGTGACTCATGCTGACCAGTCAGTAGGAACGTGGAGAGAAGTGAAGAGCCATCTGCATTCCAATTGATCTAACCTCAGCGTTTTCTTCTTTCAGGTCATCAATGTCAGAAGGAATGTCTCTTGGCGCTGATAGAGTTATGAAAACCTCCCTAGAAATCCTCCTTCTCTTGAGCTCCATGAAAGGAGCTCCAAACAAAAACTGGGGCCGTTGAGCCCCTTTCCTAGTGTTGCACATGGTTGCTCTTCACACATATTCCTGTCCGGGTCTGTACTGTCAATTGTCATGAATAAAGTGGCACTGCTTATTTGCAATCTGAGTGAGCCTTTGCTCCAAAGCTTTGAGTGAAAAGACAAGATTTTATAACACCAGGCTTAGATTCTGACCATCACCATATCCGGTAACAAAGATACAGGATGAAACCTCATCAAATGCTCAAGATTAGGTCTCGAATTCCCAAACTTTCAACACTCAATATTACATTTATTTTACTTACATAACACTTTATCTGTAGTTACCTGACACAACACAAAACAGACGCAGACAGAAGGAAATTATGTATTTTTCCATAATAGTAAGAAACAGAAAATTGTATCTTATACAGAACTAAAGTTGCAAATTATATCATCTATAAATGCCATTTAACACAAATAAGAATAACAGTGTCAAATCTAACTACATATAATTGGCTGGAACTATCCTATATCTATGTGGTATGACAATATTTCTGGAGAGATGTAAACAAATATCTACTAATCCCAAGCCAAAGTTCAGATAAAACCAAAGTCCGATTTAGTGAACCAATGAGATTCATATTTATTGTGGTTCTTATAGTAATATTGACAAGTGGTTACTTACAGGAGCAGAAATGACTCAAAGATAGTTTTGTCACCAAAATAAGTAACAGTTCACAACAGCTGGAAACCTAGGGCACCCTTGACAGCCTAAGGACAGTACAATGCAAAAGTGTGTTCTTTTCAGGGAGTTCAGTCACTCTGAACCTCTTTCAGGTAGCTTGGGTGATCTCTATTTTGTCCAGGCATATTGGTTTGTCTGAGAGTGTCTAGCAACTCTCCTTACAGTCTGTACATTTCTGGGGATGAAAGACCTGTTATATCCGGTTCCAGGGATTTCCTGAAGCCTCTAAGTTATTTACTTCTTGACCTTAATGATCGTCCTTACAGGATGGGAGTTCCCACCCATTCCCACTGCGACTCTGCATTCTTTTGTTAACACCCTGTGTCTTAACAAGCTTTCCTCTGATGTGAAAGACTAAGATCATGGAGTAAACTGTAGTCTCCATGATGTTTACATAAGGACTCAACTCCTCTCCTCCCTAAACTTATGCCACTCACAGTATAGAGAAGGCTAGAAGCACTGTTGTCAGTTTCTTTTTGAGTTTCAGACAAAAGAAAAAAAAAGTAGAGTACTTGGCACAATGATGGCACCATTATTACAGTGGTAACCAACTTCTTTCTGATTGGATTTGAGGCCTGCTACAGAAGAGAAAATTCATACATATCAATATACATCTTATCAAACACCCCCATACCAGGGATTGGTTAAGTCTTATTGAATCTTTGGCCAAAGGGATTCCATAGATCTCCCTCAAACATTGCTTTCATTTGCTTGCTTTGATTTTTTATTTGTGTGTTTGTGTGTGTGTGTGTGTGTGTGTGTGAGAGAGAGAGAGAGAGAGAGAGAGAGAGAGAGAGAGAGAGAGAGAAAGCACATGTTGACAATGTTGAACAGTAGCGAGACTGGGAGGGGTTAGGCAAGGGAGATAACTATAGAAAATTTTACTGTATGAAATTTTATTTGTAAAAGCCAGTAAGTAACAAAAAGGAAGCAGCAGATGTGGCACCATGACAGCAAAGGCACATGTAGCAGAGCAGCAGTGACATTCAGGCAGTCAGCAGGAGAAATGAACATGGTGACACTGCAGGCTTCCAGAAGGGGCAACTAACAGCATAAGGAGAGTGTTCTCAACAGGTCACAGCAGGGTGGCAGGAGTAGAGAAGAGGGTTATGTAAAGGGAAACCTTTTCCTTGAGAGAAGCCTTCCTGCCAGCCTGGTTCCAGAGCCACATCAGTCCCAAATAAACACACAGGAGGCTATATTAATTATGAAGCTGTTGGCCTTGCTTGTTTCTTACTGGCTAGCTCTGACTTAAGTAATTACCCCATAATTGTTAATCTAAGTATGTCTCTTACCGGAGAAGTTTCCGGGCTTCCTACCCCATGGTGTTACATCTCGACTCTTGAGTTTCTCCTGTGTTTTCTCCTACCCAGAGTCCTCCTGGATTCCTAGTCCCACCTATCTTGGTCCCTATTGGCCAGCAGTGATTTATTGACAAATACACAGGACTTCCCTAACATCTCCTCTTTTCTGGGTTAAGTACCAAACGCATAGGGAATTAGAGGTGTAAAACTGTAGGTAATGGCCATATGAAGACTTCCTGATGGCTGTTGAGCTTTTGGAGCCAAGGTCCTAAGGTACCCTACACCTAAAATTGTTAACATTGGCTGCTATCCAAGACTGAAAACTCCCAATACCTAAGCTCCCCTTGAAGCTATAATTCTATGCCAAGTGAATGCTGAGTGCCTAAGCCTTCAAGAGTGGCAAAATGGAAAGCAAAGGGTATGGATGGCTTAGGTCTGTCTATACAAGAGCCCTAATGCCCAAGACTTGTAAGCAAACTGCAGCACGAGAAGGCAGGACTTGTAACTGCTCCTGCCTGCCTGCTAAATTCTCTCTGTCAAAACCAAAGGGCACAAGAGCTGCCCAAGGCCAGTTTTGAAAACCTTCTTGCATGCCTACGTGTGCATCCAGGTAAAGCATGCGACCCTAACCTGCCAAATGATGTCACCCCAAGAACATGATCCTGCTTGCACATCAGCTGGAGTGTTCTCACCATCATCCACTGCCTGGTACCATTTTTACAGTGTCTCAAATTACATGAGACACTAAAGAGTCATCACTGTCCTTGACAGGAAAACACTAGAATAAAGTTCATTTTAGGTTGTTGAGCTTTGCCACAGTTGTCAAGGCTTCCATGGTGCTATTACATAGGCCCACTATACCTGCTGAGTTTATTCATAAATACACAGATAGTGCAGAAATGCGAAGGACTCATTAATTTAATCACTAAAGTAATGCAGTTTAGGTCTTGTCCAGATGACAGCTAATTCCTTCCCATTTATCCATCATTACATTTGCAAGGGTGTGATGAAATTTTTCTTGGGTTATTTTCAGGCTAGGAGAACTATTAATGAATGAGAGAATGATTTAGTAATGCTTAAACCAAAAGTAATTGCACTACATGATGCAGCCCTGGAGTCCAGCTCCCAGAACTGCTTCAGGGTTATAATTAGAATGCCCCAGAACAGGGGTTGTCAGGAAAATTTCTTATCTATATAAAGACTCACATACAAGAAATGAGGATCATGCTCTTTATTTTTCATCAGCTTTAATCCTCTTTAATGTTGTTTACTTCATTCTATTCTTCTCTGACTCAACAGCTTATGTACCCATTCAATAGCAAACTTTTGTAATTAAAAAAATAGTTACTATGGGAGCATAAGGGGGGAAGGAGTAACTACAGTAGTACCCAGCCTCAAAGTCCCTGGAGTACAGACTGTAATATGAGGTTGGGGGCACACTGCCCAGTGAGACAAGCTACTGAGAGATTTTCACAGGAGTCTTTATCAGCCAGACTTTCAGTAAGTGAATAATTATCATCATGTTATTTCAGGTTGTTGTATGCTAATAACCTTGGTTAGACATCTGAACTCTGTCCGTGTGCATATGTGTAAAGTTTTGAATTGTGATCCATTTATGGAAACATTTACTCTAGTTTGAAATTGCTCTAAGGTCTTAAATGAGCTAATTGTTTTTAGCTTGACTTAGAATGTGGAGAAATTGTTTTCTTATACTAGTCTGAGCTAAAGAAATAAAACTGGCTTTAAGAGTATTATCATCCTCATGGAACGATAGATCCAATTACGAAGCATATACTAGTATGTTTTCTATATATCAGATTATCTATATATCCTTATGCAATTAAGGAAAAATCGTCTTCCTGACTATCCACAGATACATGTACCCATGTTGGGGAAGTCCTGTGTATATGTCAATAAAGCACTGTTGGCCAATAGGGAAGAAAGATAGGTGGGACTAGGAATCCAGGAGGACTCTGGGTAGGAGAAACAGAGAGTCAAGATGTAACCGCCATAGGGGTAAGAAGCCCGGACCCTTTTCTCCGGTAAAAGAAATACTTAGATTAACAATTATGGGGTAAATACTTAAGTCAGAGCTAGCCAGTAAGAAACAAGCAAGGACAACAGCTTCATAATTAATACAGCGTCATGTGTGTTATTTGGGGACTACAACGCGGCAGAGCCCAGGCGATTGGTGGGGAAAAACCAAGTGGCAGACAAGAAAAAGTCTTCTCTCTACATACCCATAAGATTGAGATGTAATGATGAGATTATATATACATATCCCATGAGATTACACATTACAGTGCAGCTATTGGAGGGATACCATAGCTGTCTCTGCACATGTGAAATCACAGTAGAAGAAACAGTTTTCAGAGTCTGTGGTCACATTAGCCATGCTTGAATGGGGTTCTTTGCTACCAGAGAATTATTCATCTGGTGGGTTCACGTTTGAGTTATCAATTGCTAACTGCTGTGTTTGCATCATGGCCCATAACAGACTGTGACAACTAAATACATTCTTCTGTCCAGGAAACACATTCAGTTCTTGGTGGCAATAGACACCTGTTGAATTCTCCTGCAACCTCCACCCTGAGCGGAGAAGAGGGAGGAATGTCTGGGTGACTCACACTTTCCCTTTCAGATGTTCCCTTTATTCTGAGGACTATGTTTCTTAGTGACCCACAGATAAGCCTGTTGGACATGAAGGGTTAAGGAGGGAATATTCACCTATGAAGACATGTAAGAAAAACAACTGAGTATTGTTGGGGGAAGTCCTGTGCATTTGTCAATAAAGTACTGTTGAGCCTATAGGGAACCAAGATAGGAGGGACTAGGAGTCCAGGAGAACTCTGGGAAGAAGAAACACAGAGAGTTCAAGATGTAACGCCATTGGGGTAGGAAGCCCGGAAACCTCTCCGGTAAGACACATACTTAGATTAACAATTATGGGGTAATTACTTAAGTCAGAGCTAGCCAGTAAGAAACAAGCAAGGCCAACAGCTTCATAATTAATACAGCGTCTTGTATGTTTATTTGGGGACTACAATGCAGCAGAGCCCAGGCAGCTGGCGGGGGATAAACCAAAGCGGCTAGCAAGGAAAAGCTTCTCTTAACAGAGTATAGCAGACTTGTTTTTCATGCTAAGTAAAGTGTATGCAGTTAGGGGACAATCCAGTCTTGCCAACTGGAGAAACCAAAAGCTGACAACAATGGGAGGAGGCCTCACTTTTTCAACACTCCCATCCCAGGAATTGCAGCGTGCAAGTATGCTCAACTGGAAGTGAAGGTAACTGACTCTGAACAATGTCAGTCTTCCCATATGTAAAAATACTCCATGCTTTTGGCAGTCGGGGGACTGCAACATCCTGATCCAATCTCTGGGAGTTTTATCTTCTTACTCAGAAGAAACTCGCCCTGCTTCTTGCTTGAGAGGAAGTAGTATCTGGACACTGCTGAAGAAATTTCCAAGAAGGTGAGTCCTTCCCCTACTATGTAGAATTGAGAGCACTGTGGAACACACAAGGGCACAGGGAAAATCAGTGCTGCTTCCTTCAGAGGTGAGTGGAGGGAACAGGGCTGGTGCCAGCTGTCTGCAGGGCAGATGAACACACAGCAGCCAGATCCCAATGCTTCACTAGGAAACATGGTCATTATTCTACCCTTACTGGAGCTGGAACCAACACAAATGCATTTTGATCACTGTGGACAGTAAAATAACTTTACAAAAATAATTATGTATTTTTGTATATGACTTGTCCATTTGTGTGTATATATGCATGACAGAATTGGGCATCAGATCCCATTATAGATGGTTGTGAGACAGCATTTGTTGCTAGGAACTGAACTCAGGACCTCTGGAAGAGCAGTTAGTTCTTTCAATCACTGAGCCGTCTCTCCATCCTGTAAAATAACTTTCTGAGTGTAAGTATTAGTGAATGGAAAATGAGAAGAAGGTTTTAGTTATCTTGGCTGGAGAGAGAGAGAAGGAACTCATTGGCTGTGGTGATTGGGTAATTGATAGGATAGTGACATGAAAGGATTACCATACATTTTTCTTTAGTGAAAAATATAATGACCCAGAATTGCACTCTGTAGTATTCTAATATTACACAGCATGAGAGGTGTTGGGTATGTGCAGTAGAAAATATCTCATATCAGCAAATACAATTACTCAAATAAAGGGTGTTTTAACGCTTTTATAATCACATTTAACAACTTGCTCTGCTCCCCTGTACTTGAGCCTTAAAAGCAGCGTTCAATCACTACAAGAGAGAATTTCCATCAACTGGAGAGTTCACTGTTTTGTTTAGTGAGTGTTTTTAATTTCTTACAGTAAGACATGGGGAAGAGTTAGAGTTAATTTGAGATCGATTTTTTTAATTAGCTACTTGCAGAATGTTTTACAGGCTGCCTGTGTGCTCTGGTATAGCCCCTCATGTGTACTTGAAAAGAACATTTTAAATGCAGACTTGGGTGCTGTTAACATATTGGATGAATCCTCCCAAGTTTATCAGTTAAATTGCTAAACTTTCTAAACTTTTGCAACTCTTTTCACTTTGTTCATTTAGTAACTGAGAGTTACAGTGCTGAAAAAACCGTGAGTCAGTGTTTGCTTTTTCTTTTGTTTCTTTCAAATTACAGTTTGTGTGTGCTCCCTCACACACAAATGGAATGTCCACTATGCATATGTGTGAGTGGGTGTGTGTACATATGTGCACATAAGGGACAAAATATATTCTATAACACTATTTTTGACAGCTGAACAAACATGAGCAGTAAGAAATGCAACGCAGTATTTTATTGAATAAATCCTTAGCCCAAATTAGTGACTTTTTATATAAAGTGCAACTGTATAATTTTTTGATAGCTATTAAAAACCTTTCCCTGCATTGTATTTAAAAGTACATTACTATAAATAATCTGACTTTTCTTTGGTTATTGTATAAAATAATTTATTTTTAAATTATTCTACCATTAAGGAATGTTTTACAAACAACATATAGGTGTGTGCCATTAAAGGGTAACAAAAATTAAATTTAAAATTTTAGTGCCTGGCTAGCCACTAATGTATTTTTGTTTTGTTTTGTTTTCATTATCTCCCCTTCACCTCATGGCATTTTCTCCTTACATTTTAAAATAAATAAATTAGTAAACTCAATGTCCTTTTTCCTATCTGTCAACCATATTGATATTCTTCCTGTTTCTCCTGTCTTTGACCAGGACTTCACTTTTGAAGCAGAAGCACACCTAACCAGGCTTGTTTTTTACTCTGCACAGCCTTTGGTTTGAAGTATTTCTCAGCTTTACTCACTGTTTTCTTTCTACACTTCCAGTGGTTATTTCTACATGCATCTTACCATTGTACACTACTGGGATCTGAGTGTAAAACAATATTTTTGAGAATTTCCTATGCAGTGCCATTTTTTCCTAGGCTAAATAAACTAGAATGAATTATCTCTGACTCCTCTTTATACTAGTGGAACTGATTATATTCTAACATCTAGAATTTGGCAACTTTACTCTTAAATATTCTGAATGCAATCATTATGCCCAAACCTAAAGCAATCATATTTCTACAATAAAACATGAATGCTCACATGTAGGTCAGTTTCAATAAAAGTATGCACATCCTCTTGGATCTCACATCTAATCATATTTTGGATATACTTCTGTTGTCACAAGTCATAAAAGAAGTCAAATCTTTCAAATTTTGTATTTTACAAAGTTTAGCAGATTTTAAGCATGGCTTATAGATAGAAAACTATCTCTATGAAGAAATGAAGTCATCTAAGGAAATCGAACCTAAAAGGAGAAAAACAAATGATTTTTGACGTAATTCTACCTAGTAAATATTGTGACCTGACATTAGAAAATACACAGATGTTCAGCAAAGTGATAGTCATAGGGGCACAGAAGACACAGAGAGCAGGGTGCAAATACCAGGGTATACCAGATTACAATAAACTGTTTAAGAACTAGGAAGTGAGAAAGGGCCATGGGGCTGCAGTCAACCATCATTCCCATATATGATGAGAGGATGCAGTCTATTTGCACACAAGCTACTTCAGTCAAGGCTACAGAAGAGTCAATCATACATGCGGGAGCGAGTTCCAGCACTAATAAAGAATATAAGGAGGATAGAGGATTTTAATACTCACAACTCTAAAGGCTACAGTGAGTTCTGATTTCCACATTTTCTTCCACCACAAATCATGACAGACCTAAGTCAAACATTAACAAGTAAGAATTTCTAGACGTGTTTATTAACAGATCAGTTCCACAATCATTTTTCACAGTGCCACATCTTGTATTTAACCCTTTTCACACACACACACACACACACACACACACACACACACACACTTATAGATAATACTATGGAATGGGTCATCCACTTACACAAGAATATTATATTTTTGGAATTGTCTGTGTATGTGTGTAATACTGTATCCATTTTTATCTATTAGGCTCATCCACAGTCTTAGAATGAATGAATACAAGAAAATTATTCTTCTAAAAGGATTAGAGGACCTGGATGACTACCAGTTTAGGACAATCAAGGGCTTGTTACGACTATCTAAAACAATGCAAAATAAAATTATACAGAATTCAGATGGCTGACTCGATGGAGGACAGATTCCCAAAAGATGCTGGACTGAACACACTGATAGAAGTGTGTCAAAACACCAAAAACCTTGACAACCTTGTGAAATAGCTTAAAACAGACGAAAGGTAACAGAGACCACGCTGGGAGTCCACCCTTTGTCAACCCTCCTCAGTTAGTTCATCCTCAAGAACTTCTTTCTTACAATAATTTTAATATATTTGGCATTGGTGTCCATCCTCAGGAGGGTTGATTTTTTTAAATCAGAATCTGTTGAATGAGATCATAGATTCCAATGCAATAGACACATTAGAAAATGATAAAGTAAAATTAAAAGCTTAGTTGAACCAGAGTAAATTACACACACATGTGAAGTTATCAAATAAAGATTTAATGTTATGGGCTGAAGAATTCATTCAGCTGTTAGGAGCATCTGTTGTTCTTTCAAAGGACCCATGTTTATTCCCAGCCCCCACACAGAGTTTCACCAATTTCTTAGGCACCAGGCAGGAATGTGGTGCACAGACATACATGCAGGCAAAACATTCATACACATAAAACACTGAAAACAAAATCTAAAAATAAAATTTGAAGGCGGGAAATTATAGGAAAAGCAACATAAAATAAATTAATGTCATATGAAATATTTTAAAATAAAAATTAACTTAGAGGAAAGTTCATTGATAATTATGTAAACATTTTAATACTCATGCTTAATTAATATAATTACTCCATTATTAATATTCATCCTGGCAATAAATGTGTGACAATATTTGTTAACAATAACTAAATCTGTATCTCAGAGATATTACAAAGCTCCCCTTATAAAATCAGTGGGTACAAACATATGATAAAAATTAAGCATAGTGGTACATACCTATGCTGCCTGCACTCAGGAGGCTAGAGCAGGGAGGGCTCCACTTTGATACCAGCCTGGGCTACATAGACCCTGTACCAAAAGACAAAATGATAACAAAAAAAGGTAAGAAGTCAAAGTCAAATATCACCACTTTGCCATGTCACAATCTAAACTATAATTTCTTTCTCTGTTGCTGTAATTTGAAATGATCTTCTGCAGAAGATGACATACCATTATCATCATATAAACTTTAGAATCATAAATCTAGAATGTACAATAAGAGGGTCGGGGCAAGGTTTGATGGATATCCACAGAAACCCCCAGGATAGGAAGACTATCCACAATGCCTGGGAAAGGCTAAGAAACTTGAGTCGGTGTTTGTCCTTGGCTTGATACCTTTGGCTACCTTGTGTCTGTGCTGGGCTTCTGGGCAGTGGTAGGCAAGCACGCTGAGACACATGCAGGAGCAGACAGGAGCAGTAGGATCAACTTCCGCTCTTATAATAACAGCTTCCTGGTTCACTGTGCTTTGTTTAGTGTGTAAATTCAAAGGACAAAGAAAGGAAAATGAAAAACTGCACTGGCCAAACAAAAGCCAGCTGACCCAGGACTTCTGGGACCAGGATCAATCGCAGAGACACGGTCATCACAGGTAAAGGGGCCGAGCTTTCAAGCAAAAAGCTTCTACCCTGGGTATTCCTTACCTCTTTGTCCTTTTTGAGAATAATTAGTGCTTTACCTAGTCCAACCCCCCCCAAAAAATAGTGAAAATGGGGTTTAGTGTCAGCAAATCGACAGTTTCTAGTTATCTGTTTTGTTTTAGAACTACTTCAGTGCAATGTAATCCCCAGCAATGGAAACACAAAATGATTACATGTTTCAAAAAATACTTACTACAGTGATAATCAGTTAAATAACATGGCTTTCTAAAGATGGTAGAAGATTTAAATCTAAGCTGGGCCTGGTATACATAGCAATTTCCAGGCCAACCAAGGATATACAGTAAGATCTCTCTCTAAAAAAAATACATAAATACAAATAAAATCTTCTAAAGTAGGACTTTCTAAATGTAGGCCTATTGCCCTTCTGTCACCACAAAGATGAATAGAGTGACATAAATAAAATGATTTTACTCCTGTATAAGGTGACCCTGTGTTCACCTCTTGCTATCTTTTAAGAGGGTTGAGTCCCAAGGACATAAGTATAATTAGAATGCATTAAGTAAAAGTGAGCTCTCTTGGTATTAAAAAATATTGTGTTACCTAATATTTAGAAACAATACTAATGGTTGCAGACAAAACCATAGGGCCCTGAGTTCATCTCCAACAAACAAAAAATGAAAATAGGCATTACCAGGAGAAAATGACAAATATTAATCTTTCAGAAAAAGAGAAACAAGCCCAGAAAAAAGTAAACAACACTTGGAGACTCCAAGAAAATGAAGCTTACCCAGGAGAAGCAGCTTTCTGTGAGACCGTCAATTGTCAACACACAGGAAGATGAGGACTGTCCCCAAACTCCTTGTGAGACCCCACCACTACCCAGAAGATTCTCAAAGAAGGTATCACCATCCTCTTCCCAAAACTAGTGCTGTTACTTGCCAGAGTAACCATAACCTTGGAGAAGCTCCTCACTAATTCCTCATTCCACCCACCTCATCTTACAAGTAAATCAATCATTACGTTATCTCAAGTGCATGTATCGGGATCTCAGTGTAGTACGGAGAATTTGCTTAGGAGAGTATGTGTTTAGGAGGTTGGTTTCTGACTGCACCAGTATGCTTTTTTTGTTTTGGTCCAGAATAGGGTATGGCTGGGGTAGCCAGGGAGAGATGGCCACAACAGTATGTCTATCTCTGCTATCCAATTTCTCCTAAGCTCTTTTTCTGTTGCTTGTGATGAAGTTTAGTTGCATTGTTCTATACTCCTCTCAGCAGCTGTTTGAACATGTTCTCCCCCCTGTTTTCAAGTTTATCACCCCTGTCTCTTCACTAACCAATCTATGCTCAACAATGAGGCACCAGGCTGGCTGATCCTCAGGCTGTTCCTCACTGCAACACCCTTCTTGGAAGAGCAGACAAGATTCTGGTCTTTCCTCATAGCATTTATTTTCCTTATTGTAATTAATTAGGGGTTAACATTCTTCCTGCTAGACAGTAAGATCAAATGCAAAGCAGACTGCCCCAGGTGAGAAGACAAAGGAATATGAGTCAAGTCACACCTATAACTATCAACTCCTATCATAAGACCCCTATTTTATTCTTTTTCATTTCACTGCCATTTTATGTGCCGTGATGTAATGTTTGTGGTTACCTGTAACCTAGGGCTTTGAAGCAATTAACTGCGGTGGTGAGCATGAGAAAGTTTGTACAACACTACAGAAGGGAACATAAGAGTACAAATTAAAACACTGTTATCTAATGTGACTTCTAATTCAAGGCCAGAGCTCCACTCCTACCCAGATTGTCCTCGCCACCAGTGGAGCAACCGTGTATGACTCTGAAGACAGAGTTCCTACAGAAAAGGACTGCCTGATTTTAGTTTAATTTTCCCATGGATGTTATTGAAGATATTAGTTCTAAGATCCTAAATGTCTTTTAACAATCCTCATAAAAGGTAAAAATTTATTTCTGTCATTGCTTTGAATTTATGAGTGTAGAGACATGTATCTAGAAACAATTTGTATATTATCTTGATTAGAAAGAGACAGTTTTAGTAAATTGTAATCACAATAGCCTAGAAATGTTCTTTATGAAAACGAAACAAACTAGAAGGTGTTCATGATAGAATTATCTGAAGTCAGTGTGCAACACACGTAGAACCCATTCTTTATCCCTAGACATAAAAGTGTTCTCTGGACATTAATTGGTGACAGAGCAGTGTGTGTGTGTGTGTGTGTGTGTGTGTGTGTGTGTGTGTGTGTGTGTGTGTGTGTGTGTGTGGTTTAAACTAGAAAGGGGATCGTGGACAAGGAGGAAGAAATCTTAAGGAAGGGGAGAACTAGAGATGTAATACATATGTTAAGAAAGCAGAAGTGAAAAGCAGTTTGAGAAATGAAGAGAACTAAGACAGAGAAATACAGGAACAAGGAGAAGGCAGTGGGGAAAGGGCCAGGAGAGAGAATAGTGTAATGACACAAGTATGTGAAAATGTCAAATGATGCCCATGGTTGTGAAGTTAACATGAAAATATAATTCTAATAAATATGTGAAGACTAAGGTTTGTATTCATGTTTAGGGTAGTTGGAGGGCAGAGGTATGAGCATCTGGGGATATGCTGTTATCCAGAGAAAACTGGAGAGTAAAGAATATCTACAAAAAAATATTGGTCTATGTGGAAGAAAACCATTATCCAGAAATAAGTTATTTAAGTCTTTTTTTCATTCAGAAAAGGAAGAGCTCAAAAAATTTCTAGTGATACTGCAAGAAACAGGCAATTTCAGGTAATGAGTGAGTTTTTAACCATATCAGATAACAGCACAGACCCTGGGCCTCCAGCAAACCCTCCCAACTATTTCCTCATCAAGAGTAACACCATCCTGTTCCCACTCAGATACCTTCTTAATAATAATTACAATAATCATAATCTTGAACAAAATGTTTTCTCCTCTGAACTCCAGTTTGCTAATTTAATTAATATTAGGATTCATTGGGTATATATTTTGAGATCCCAGCCACAATTTTCAAAGTCTGATTATTTTATAGTATGATAACAATGTATCAGCACTCTCTAGATGACCAGTGTGTGATTCCTTTTAATAAGTACAGTGGCATTATTTGGATTATACAGCATAATCTTAGGCATATCTAACTACTTGTGTTCCTAAATGTTGCTCCTGGTATAATTATAAACATGCATAATCTTTGATGAAAGGTCATTAATAATAATAATTTTGGTTTGGATGACAACAGTCTAGTAAAGCTATTTTCAAATCTTTGTATTTTATCAAACTTAAACCACATGGGATCACCAATGTACAAAGAAACCAGGAATGATAGACATCATGGTTAGGATTAGTTTGAGTAACATACCTGTTATTTTTGAAGCAAAATTTAGCATCTCAAATTTTAACCTCTTGGAAGTTTAGAAAAGTGTATTGAAAAACCCTAAATAGATTTGTCACTTTATATGCAAATGTTTCTCATTTATATGGTGGTTTTATTCCGTCAGAATTAGAACATGGCAATTTAAAAGACTTGAACCTAGTCAGATGCATGAATGAGTCTTGACTGAGCTTTGTGAATACTACTCAAGCACTCAACCAGTTGATCTAGATTCCTATTCCGTGACACTCTGACTGCATAGTCCACTCTTTAGGGCTCCTTTAACTATCCCTCCTGCCATTTCCAGGCTTTCCCAGTGCCTCTGGCATCTTCCCATTGTCTCCAGGATCCTCAGGTGCTTCCAGCTACATCATACATGGTGATGATTTACTGCATGGTATATATTCTTTTATTTAACTAAATCACTAATTTTGATTAAATATATACTTTGAAACCTTGCCCTAAGATCATTTTAATACTTATGTACTAAAAATCTATGATTCATTCAGCACCTAACTTACTCTGCTTTTTCAAGACTACAATTAGTCATTTGCTTATCCTTGTTTTATTTTGGCTATCATTTCTGTTTTTCCCTCCATGCATGCAGAAAGTATTATCTTAGGGCAAAAAGGATGTGAAAACACATGGCCAATCAGAATCAACTATCAATTATTTTTCATTTATTTTGAATTGAGCGATAGCACCATTTTTTAAGATGTAGGAAAGTAGCCACGTTAAAAAAGTTGAAACAAGCCAGGCATTTAATCCCAACACTCAGGAGGTAGAGGCAGGTGGATCTCTGTGAGTTCGAGGCCAGTCTGGTCTACAGAGCGAGTTCCAGGACAACCTCCAAAACAATACAGAGAAAGCCTGTCTCAAAAAAAAAGCTGAAACAAAACTAAACTAAAAATGACCTTTAACGTTCTGAAATCTTTCCCAAATGCCTCACTGCAGTTCTATTCCTTTTTAATTTTGTCTCTTGTTGCGCATATGCACAGTAGCATTTTCCTAAAAGATTGTATCACATATCTTTCTATTCCAGATGTCTTAAAAGTTACATAATGTATCTTGAACTTCCATTAAATCAACCAATGTGCATTTAAATTGTTTTACTGTCTACAAAATTTCATGATTAGTTCATCCATTATGAAAATATCTTATGTGATCTGGCTTTAGGCTCTTTTGAGACTGTAGTTTATCAGTATTGAATAACAAGAATATCTGTTCCTAACAATTTCTTTCATTTCTCAAGAAAGTTACATCTCCCTAGTTGTCAAAACCATCATTCAAACATTCCCCACATAGGCATGCTTTCTGTACTCTCCTCCCACCCTTCAGCCCAATGAGCACCTCCCACTCAACACTTGCCTTGGGTACTGTAGCCCTTTCCTCTGTCCTGTGGCTCAGTGACACACTCTGCTTTGCCAGCTGTACTCAAACTGTGTAAGAGTGAAGAGCCACTTTCATAGTCCAAAGAAAGAGGAGAAAGCTGGTCCCATGGTTAAAACTCAAGGAGGTAAGCAAGAATGAGAAAAGAGATGTAAATGAGTCATCGTGACAGTATGAGTAAAGACAGATGTTTATGGACAACTACTTCACGACTTATATAATTCATCACTTCTTTATTCAGGATCATCAGGGCTAGCACAAGACACCTTAATGCTGATTCAGTTATGGAAATGTCTCAGCGTTCTCCTTCTGAAAACCTGGACACCACTGAAAGAATGTTCATAAAGATCTAAGAACAGAAAACTAGTCATATACATACTTAGAAATATAAGGCACATAAGCCTTTTCCTTATTCCTGTTTAGTATTTTATTGTCTTGTGAATTCTATATGACCACTGTATTTATATCCCTCCCACCTAACACTTTCATGCCTCCAACTCTTCTGTTATCACAACCCCTCTCCCAACTCCCTGTTAACTTTATGATATTTTTCCTTATTATTATTTATGATACTTTAAAGTTACTTGAAATTACTTTTAATTGAAAATACTTAAAATGATTTTTAAGTAATCCCCAAACAAAAATTGGGATCCTTCAGTATGTTTACGAATACAGCCCAATCCTCCTGACAGCACATTGCTTTCCCATCTGTGCTATTGCTTGGCTTTGATTAAGGTTTTCCTGCTATTTGCAATCTATGTGAGCTTTCCTTTCAATAACTGGGATGCGGACAACGTGAGAAACATCCTACCCAGGCCCCAGCCTTTGTTAACATGGAAACAGCAACAAAGCACCGTCAAATGGTTTCCCAACCTCCAGAACTATAAGAATAAATTTCTGTTTCTTGTAAACTATTCTGTCTGTGAACTTGTGCTATAAAAACACAAATTAGACAAAGCTACCAGCAATCTATACAACTAGGTGCAGAAATCAGTAAAGAATTTTCATTTACTTACATGTTCCCTGCATGCCAAGCCATGAAGATGGAATAACAGTGCCAAATCTGTATGTAGTGGTAAAATGTGGTTTGTATTAACCTAGTGTTTACACAAAGATATACTCTGCTCTCCAGCCCCAACCTATGCTTTATCATTACTCCACTCAAAGGCCAGTAGGATTACTGCACGGTTTTTTTCTATTCATGCACTAGAATAGCCAGTATAATAATGACACAAATGTTACAGGGCTAATCAATGGCTTTCTAGAAGTATTTGAGTTCTGATACACAGGAAGGAATCCATGCTTGATACTGCACACCTACCTGTTGAAAATCTCATCCATAGCTGGAGAGTTGATATGCCCTGGAAGGGCAGGAGCTATTGCTGCTGTTGTAAACAGCCTGTTGTCAAGCTGCCTTCTGAGTATTCATGCTTTGATTCCTCAATAAATATTGCTGTTAACATGGGAACTGGGGTTCTTCTTTGGGTTCTTAATCATATTAATGAAAGAATTTTGAAATGAACTCTGAAGGAGGTTCAAGAACAATTTCATTACACTTTCAAAGGAAAATAACCAGGCATACAAGCTGTAAATCTCAGTAAATGCCTACAGTGGGAAGATTAGGAGGGAGAGTAGTGTCTCTCTGAGTTATATTACATACAAGTAGTCATGCTTGGAAGTAGAGGACAGCGAGTACTACATGGCAGTAGGGGAGGCAGGCTTCAGAGTAAATGAGAACTCCCAGATTATCAAGTAAATGGGGTTAGGTATTGGAATAGTATCAGAAATATAAAGATAAAAAGCAAGAAAAGGGAAATGTGTGTGATTTTTAGTATTTTGAAACAGCCAGTTTAATGGTGCTGTGTAGGAGAAGTTCTGTAAGTGGCTTGTGAGTGGAGGAACTTCTAGAAAGTTTAAGTTTATTATTCCATTAAGGGGATAATTATTCCTGCCATCTCCTTAACTTGTTTTCAGCTGGAAGGATGGTCTTTAGGCCAGCAGATTATAGGCCCAGATGACTATTAAGAGAGATAACAATGGAGGATGTAGTACTCTGAACTTGGGAGCTAATTAGAATGTCAGTCTCCACCAAGGACCAGAGGTGGAAACCAGATTCCATTCTTTTGACCAGAAGGAAGCAGTTTTCCCTTAGTGACGATCTTTATCACTAAAAAGGGCCGACATAACTACAGACAAAAGGAAGGCTGATTGATGCCAAAGTTTTTTCTCTTTTGTGGTAATATATTGTTTATGATCTAATAAAGCTTGCCTGAAAATCAGAATGCAAAGTTAGCCACAGTCATAGGGCCCAGGTGGTAGTGGTGCACACCCTTAATCCCAGCAGCTACACTAGTTAACCATAGAAACTGGGTGATGGTGTTGTATGCCTTTAATCCAGTACTAGAGAAGAATATAAAATGGGAGTAGACCAGAATTCATTCCTTTTCAGTCTGAAGATTTGGTAGAGCTAAGAGCTCTCTAGTGTTTGGCTGCTTTGCTTTTCTGTTCTTCAGCTTGAACCCCAATATCTTTCTCTGGGTTTGTATTATTCATGCTACACTCTTTATTCGAGGCTCGAGTGGTATGTTTGTAACAACATTAGACTCTGGAAAGTTCGGGACTTGGGAATTAATAAGTGAGTGAATGCTGCCTGAAGCTCTTAAGCCAAAAGTGATTTCATCTCAGATTTTTTTGAAATCTATTCAAGTGCAGCTGGCAAGTGACAGGGCCAAGCTCTCCTCCTGCTGTGGCCTTCATCCTGAGCAGGAAAGAAAGCAGTGGGCTGGTAACTCAGCTTTTCCCTCTGAGGGTTCATCTCATTTAAAGGAATGTGGATTGCTAGGGACTCACTTGTGATTTGGTTGCACATAAAGCTTTTAAATTTAAATCTGAATTTTGTACCTATAAGATTTGTAAGGAAAAAAATTAAAAAAATAAAAATAAATAAATTGTCAGTCTCTTTTCATGGTAACTAAAATGTATACAAGAAAGAAACAGCTGAGTTTCAGTATATGAGGAAATCGAAAGCTATGACTGCTGCTGGGTGGAGGCTCACTCTTTCTTCTCCTCTACCTGCAAAACAACACAGGCTGAGACACCCTGGAAGGCTCAGCCCGTGGAGTAGTTTAACTTTTGATCTTCTATAGATTGCATTCTCCGGTTCCTAAGAGACTTATTAGCTTATCTTCACACACACACACACACACACACACACACACACACACACACACACACACACACACCACTCTACAAAGAGGAAGAAAAAGAAGGAGAACAGGAGGAGGAGGGGAGAAGTCTTGCATCCTATGCTGTAGAGGACCTCAGAATCCTGACACCTCTGAAGAAACTTCCAGCAACGTGAGTTCTACCTGCTTTCTGTAGACATTAGCTACTTCTGTGAAAACCACAAGAGCAGAGGGGGAAACTTTGCTGGTTCTTCTGGTGGTAGGGAAGCAGAGCTGGTGGCTGCTGCCCTCAGCAATGAACCTGCAGTTGCTGGTTTCGAGTGGTTCACTCAGGAAGATGGCACAAATCTCTGTTCCTCCGCCGAAGAGGAATGAGCCAAGAAAAATGCATTTTGCATATTTCAGGTTGTTTAATAAACTTGCTAAGTGTAAGCTTGAGTAAGTGGGTAAGAGGAACACTTTTGTTATCTATTCCTGAACATGAAGCCTGCCCTGGAGAGACTGATATACCCAGTGTTATCAGGGAACCACTCACTTGCACACTTAAAAATCCCATAAAAACACTAAACTGGAAGCCATAATATAAGCACAGGACCTAATGTAGACCTGTCCAGGCCCTGAGCATGTTGCTTCAATCTTCTGTGAGTTCATATGCGCTTTGCTTAGGTTGGTTTAGGGGACCTTATTCTACTGGTGTCCTCCCTCCCCTCTGGCTCTTATGCTCTTTCTGCATGCTCTTCCATGGGGTTCCCTGAGCTTTAAGGGGAAGGATTTGATGGAGACATCCCTTGTGTACCAATGTCTCTTATTCTCTGCATAATGTCTGACTGTGGGGTCTCTGGACTGGTTCCCAACTGCTGGAGAAAGAAGTTTGGCTGCACAAAGAACTGATTTATGAGTATAGCAAATATCATTAAGAGTCATTTTTCACTGCATTTTTTCTCTTTTTAGACAAGTATTATTTGGTTTTCCTGGACTATCTCTGGTTCTTGGTCACCCAAGCAGTGTCAGGTCATTGACTCCATCTCGTGGGGTGGACCCTAAGTCAAATCAGTTATTAGTTGTTTACTTTCAGGAGTTCTGTGCCGCTGTTGCATATCTTTCAAGCAGGACATCATTGTAGATCAAAAGGTTTGTAGCTGGGTTGGTGTTTCTTTTTTGGGAGGTGTGCAGGGTACCTTCCTGTATCAAAGATGTTAGCAAGTAGGGGTGAATGTTTTATGTAGGCACTAACTTGACAGCTCTATGTTCAATGAATTCTATAGGTACTGTCTTCAGCAATGGGGCCTTACTGTCAGTTTGTGGAGAGCAACCTATAGTCTCGACAACAGCCTGTGGTGTCTGGAGATTCCTGTGGTGCCCTTTTGGACAATAACTCAATTAAATGCAACCCAATTCCATTAGTGGAAGCTTCATTTGGTGACAAGAAAATGGCTAGATGAGACTCTGTCTCCATCATTATTTTGCAATTTCATTGAGAAATTAATTAAATTATTTTAGGTTTCTACTTTATTAGGTTTTTATACTACTCCCTCAAATGGCCCTTAATTGTAGATGTCTCTCCTCATATTCCCTTGCACAACTCTTTCTTCCCTACCCCTCCACAATTGATGCTGCTGTTTCAACCTCCCATCCATTCATAATTATGTATTCTATTTCCCTTTCCTAAGGAGACCTAATGCTCCACTCTAGTCCAATGTTTCTTAACCCATGGATCTGGACCCCTCATGGGTTCAAAAGTCCCTTTCACAAATATGCCGTATGCCAGATACTTACATAATGATTCATAACAGTAGAAAAATCACAGCTGTGAACCAGAATAACTTTAAGATTAGGGACCACCACGTGAGGAACTGTACTAAAGAGTAGAAGCATCGGGAAGGGTGAGAACCACATCTCTAGTCCCTTACTCTATACCTACCCTTTGTGGTTCTACAGATTGTAGCTTGGTTATCATTGACTTGACAATAGCTACATATCTTTAAAAAGTTAACAAAAGCTTTTACTTAACAGACTGTGGCAATGTATTCAGGCTGATAATTAAAACCTTCTTTATTTTTTATTTATTTATTTTTTGCTTTTGCTATAGTTATTTCATTGCTGGTACTTCTGTACCTCCTCCTTGCCTTTTTTTGTAAGTTATGCTCATAGTTTAAGATGAAAATATTAGTGAGCCGCTACATCCTTTGCCTCCCTCCATCAGTCATATTTCCTCCCTATTCTCATTTCTTTGATCAGAGCTTCACTTGTGATACAGAGGCAAGACCAGAAAAGCTTGTATTTGTGCTCAGTTTTTACTCTGAAGTACTCTCAATTTTACTTATGGCTTTCTCACAGTTAATTCTAATATGTTTCTATATGTTTTTGGCTTTTGAAACTACTAAGGCTTGTAGTACCAGACATCACATTTTGAAACTGTTTTATCATTTTATCTGGGTTAAGATACTACCATCAAATTTTGTTTCTTTTTCATTTTTAACTTATGGTAAGTTGAAGGCATCTCTTTACACCACTGGGAATATATTTTCTCATCCAGAATATGGTATCTGCAGATGAATATTAACGCCTATTTCCTAAATACTATATTAATGGAAATGTCATTGAGATTGCAGTCATTACCACCAAATCAATATAGTACTTCAACAACAGAACATGATAGTCCACATGTAAGTGGGAGGCACACAAAGTACTCAAACCTCCTGTCATCACATATTGTCTTTTAGAGACATATGTTTGTCACAAACCATTAAACAATTAATCAAAACCTTGTAATTTTAAAGTTCTTTGGTTATGACATCATGGAACAATATATATAAAATCCACACATTTTTGCCTAAGGCAAATTGCTGTTGATAATGAACTCTAATATTGTCCTTGAATCTTTGCAGGCGATCTAATTGTGATGACTACTTTCATGTCAGCTTGACACAAGCTAGAGTCATTTTGTAAAACAGAACTTTGATTGAGAAAATGTCCCTACCAGACTAGCCCTTGAGCATGCCTGTGGAGTGTTTTCTTGATTGGTGATTGATGTGGAGGGGCCAGCTCACTGTGATGGTCCCAGGGTGCTATAACAAAACAGGCTGAACAAGCTGTGGGGAACAAGCCAGTAAGCAGCACTCCTTTGTGACCTGAGAAGGAAATAGTTCATTTTGGCTTATCTTCTACACCACAACCTAGCATTAAGTGAAATAAGGGCAGGATTTTAGGGCTGTAGCCCTTTCCTCACCAGGTTGTTTATGGTCATTGCTTTATCATGATAGATATCTGAAGGTTTACAGAGTGGTCACTTTTTAAAATATCTTTAATCACCTTAACTGTCACGTGTCATTAGATGGATTTTCCTTCACTGCCTTGACCTTTTCAACCAATTGATGCTTAACTTTTCTCAAAAAGAGAGCAGTGAACAGACTCAGAAAATGTGGCATTCCCATTATAGAAAAGATACACAAAACATAATTCCTAAACCAATGACTTATAAATTTAAGCTAACTTGGAATCCATTCATATGATGAGTCACAAAAGTAGTACACAAAGGGCAAATAAGACATAAAATCACAGAACGAGACTATGTTCTTTTAAGCATTTGGAAGTTTCCAGAAGATGTCTCACCTTTTTTTCTTCTTCTTAAAAGTTACTATGAGGATGCAGACAGAAAGAAATGTGAGGATGACAATGAAAACTCTAATTATCTACATCACAAAGCAGGACAAGTGTGGAAGACTTAACCCTAATGCTTCTCATACCAGGCATAAAGAAGCAAATACAAAGACACAGATCATTTGCGGCCTCCCAAGATACTTTAAGGAGCAAGATATTTTTTTTAACAAATTGAGGAACTATTGAGGATTTAAACTGAATTTAATAGTGGTTTATATACAGAAAACACACTCAATGAACAAATAAAACTGACTCATGATATCAAAGGCTATGAAACACAAAGGAGAAAAAAACAAACAACTCGACATAATTCTATCCAATAAATTCTGTGACCTGACAAGAGAGTATGTAGGTGTTCAGCACAGTGACAGTCATATAGGAACATAGAATCAATGAGACAAGGATTCAACACCATGAGAATCAGAATGCCAGTGAGAGATGTTTAGAGCCAAGTGAGCAAGTGTCAGTGCCCCCAGCATGGGCCATTGTGATGTAGTCAACCAATATTTATGTATATATTAAGAAGATGCAACCTCTCTGCCCCCAGTCTCTTCAGGAAATAGTATGAGAAGAGTCAGGAACCCCCACCAGCAGTCATCCAGGAATAGGCAACAACATCAATGACTATTAGAAAGAAGAATTTCAACACTTCGGGTGGTATAAATGAGAATGGTCCCCATAGGCTCATAGATTTTAGTGGCTCGTCACCAGGGCATGGCATCATTTGAAAGGATTACAAGGTGTGACCTTGTTGGAATAGATATGAACTTGTAGAAAGTATATCATTTGGGGTGGACCCAGTGGCTCTCTCTTCCTGATGCCTATAGATTGACATATAGAACTCTCAGCTGTTTCTCCAGCACCATGTCTTCCTGAAACTATGGACACTGTGGCATGGGTCATTGACTCACCTAGGTGTATCTTGGTTTTGAAACTGTTTGTGACTGTATGTAATTCTGTATGCTATTATTCTCCTTTAGGTTCACCTGTAATTTCAGAAATGGTGAATGAATACAAGAAAATTGTTCTTCTGACAGGACTAATGGGTATCAGTGACCATGATTTTAAAATGGTTAAGTCCTTGTTGAGCAAAGAACTAAAACTAAATAGAAAAATGCAAGATGATTATGACAGAGTTAAGATTGCTGACTTGATGGAAGAAATGTTCCCAAAAGATGTTGGAATGCACCAACTGATAGAACTGTATAAAGAGATGCCAGGACTTGGAGACCTTGCTGATAAACTCAAAAAAGAGAAGGCAAAAGGTAATATGGGAACAGTCTGGATGCCCACTCTTTCTTCAACTTCTCCAGCTGCACATTAGCTCTATGTAATGATCATAACTGGCATCACCTTTCACAGTGTGCACCTCAGGATCTATAGAATGGTGGCATTTCAGATGTCAAAAAAATCGACAGCTTACAAAACTTCCCTCTTACAAAGAATTCTGCGTTTGGAGGGTTGGCTATCTTTGAGGACATTGGGGTAAATAAAAATGCTAAAGCTGTTGAAAGAGATGAGACCTTCTGGTACTGTATAAAGATGAGAAAATTATAAAATAAATATTGGGAACATTTTTATTTTAAAATATTTAAATCAATTAGCATTAATGTTCCATTAAGACACTCACCATTATGTAGTCTACAAAAAGAAATGTGGTCAATAGTTAAGTGGAAGTCTAGCTCCTCAACATTTTGCCATATCACAAATCAGGTCATTTCCTTGTAGGATTCTGTAATCCAGAGTGGTCATCCAAAGAAGATAGTTGCTTAATGATTATCATCATAAAAGTATTTGGGGGCCAGAGGTCAACACAGTGCATCTTCCTCTATTGCTCTCTATGTTATTTCTTAGCATAGGTCTCTTATTGAACATGAGGCTCTCATTTTCAGCTAAACGGGCAAGCTAGAATATGGCTACACCTGCCCACTTAGCCTGGGAGTTCTATATGGCCGTTTTTAAGTCATCACCAAATAGTTTTATTCAGATCTCCATGCTTGCAGAGCAAGGGCTTTACCCACTGAAACATCTCCCCATACCTAAACTTTAAATTCTTAAAAATCAGATGTAGGATAAGAGAGTTGAGGCAGGGTGTGACTGATAGACAGAAGTCCCCAGGATGGGAAGACTGTGTCCTCTGCATGTGGAGAGAACAAGGAAACCCCTGAGACAGTCTTGTGCCTGACTTTGTAGCATGGGCCACCGTGAAGCCCCATCAAGCTTTCAAAGCAGAGGTAGGGAAGCACAGTGAGATAAGCAAGAGCTGAGAGCAAATAGTACTGAATGAACTCCAGCTGTCTCAGACCAGCATCCCTGAGTTTTCTGCATTTTCTCTCCGGCACCAGTTAAAAGGAAACAGATGGAGAGAGGCAACACTACATCAAGAAGACTCAGGCGAGATGAACCCAGTTCTTCCCAACCTATGTCCACCATAAATGAAGATTTGGAACCAGAATCAGGCAGGAGTACACTGAACTCACAGGTAGGGTGGCTAAGTTCCCAGTGGAAAATCTACTAAGGTTCTTCCCCTTTTTATATTAATTGAATGCTTATCTGTCTAGTCATAGGATCTAGTAAAAATGGAGAGGTGGAGCAACCAATCTCATACTTACTGGTCATTCATGTGTCGGGACTGTCACATACTTTAACTTGTGTCGTGTAATTCTCTATGATGGGAATGAAAAATCATTACTCAGGCAAGCAAGATGTCTCAGCAGGTAAAGGTGCTTACTGCCTTGCTGAGGAACCTGTGTTCGATTTCCAGATCCCACATGTTATAAAGAGAGAGCGCTAATACCCAGGAGATGTTTTCTGACCCCCACATGGCCTCGGTGGTACATCCACCCAGTCAGGCACAATAAAGAATATAAAACAGGTTGAATCATTGGTCTTCTTTTAGACATTGATAAAGTAGCAGTCAGTTTAAGGACATATATTTCCAAAGCCTCTTAAAGGACATCAAACCTCAAGGCAGGCTTTCTAATCATTGACCTCCTCTTCTGTCACTACAGAGATGCACAGAAAAGTGATGTAAATTAAATGTTTGTTATAAGACAATCCTACCTCTAATTCTCTGTTCAGAGGATGCTATCCCCAAGGATGATAAGTCAATCCTCTTGGTGTTAAAGTTATTATGCTTTATTTAACATTGAAAACCATGACTGGGGGTTCAAAATAAATCTCAATAGGAGAGGAGAGAACCTCTTTGGCATGCACAAGACTTGGGGTTTAGTTTCCAACAGAAAAAGGAAAAGAGAAAATCAACTGTTATCAAGAGAAAAAGAGGTTGATCACGGAGGTGTGAAACAAATCCACAAGACTGTGATTTTGTCATATGATTAAACAATCATCATTTTATCAAATGCTCATATCTAAACTTCAGTTAAAATTAATCTTTATTTTGAGAAAGTATACCATTTGATATTATTAATATTTTGGTTTTTCAAGACAGGTTTTCTCTATGACTTTGTAGGCTGTCCTGGAACTAGCTCTTTTAGACTAGGACGGTCTCGAACTCACAGAGATCCACCTGCCTCTGCCTCCCAAGAGCTGGGATTAAAGGCGTGCGCCACCACCACCCGGCTTGAAATTATTTTTATCTCAATAGATTATATTCAGTAGTTTAATTTAACTAGAGTTGTTAGATGGTCAGTGAAAAGGCTTTAACCTAAATAGATGTGTCCAGAAATACTGAAATGTTGTTGCAAATGCCTCAGGGGCCTACCAAATCATCTCCCATGTTTGACAAACTCCTCAGGTGTCTGCATTAATAGCCTCTAACAGCCTCCTGACCCCTAAGGTGCTGTCCATTCCTTCCAATATTGTCCAGGTTCCTCGGTTATCTACAGCAACTGCTTCTAACAGGGACCAAGCCACTCAAGTGTCTCCAGAAATATCATTTAGAGCCCAGGCCCACCAAGTGTCTCTAGCAACAGCATCCAGCCATGCCCAAGCCTCTGGAATGTCTCCAGCAACAAGATCCAGTGGTGTCCAGGTCCCTGGTGTGTCTGTAACAACAGCATCCAGCAGTGCCCACGTCCCTGGAGTGTCTGCAGCAGCAGCGTTCAGCAGTTCCCAGGCCCCCAGAATGTTTCTATCAATACCACCCAAGGTAGTTTCCCGTTTTCACAATACAATGACAGAGGTTATTACAACCTTGGACTAGCTCATTCAACTCTGCTCTAGCCTTCTTTCTGTTGCTGTGATGAAACATTCTGAACCAAAGCAGTTTGGGAAGGGAAGAGTGTATTTAAGCTGAAGCTTCCATCATTGGGGAACTCAAGGCAGGAACCTGAAGTCAGGAAGTGAAACAGAGATCATGAAGGAACACTGCTTACTGACTTGCTCTCCATGACTTGCTCAGCCTGCTTTCTCATACAATATAGGAACACCTGCCTGAGGTGGCACCACCCACAGAGAGCTGGGCATTCCCACATCCATCATTAACAACAACAACAAAATTGCCCTGTATACAGACAGGCCCACAAGCCAATATAAGGGAGGAAATTTCTCAGTCTAGATTCCCCCTTTCTGGTAATTCTAGTTTGTATCAAGTTGACAAAAGGTAACAGCACAGGAAGTAAAAACAGCAGAGAACAGGAAAGAGACAGTTCTCAAACAGGTGCAAAGCAAGGACTGTCACCACAGGATGATCTCTTCTCTCCTCTGCTCACACACATGCAAACATTCTTACACTCATGCACATGGGGGAAAAGACTTTCAAAATATTTAACATAATATTTAATGTATGTTGAACTGGCAATCAGGCAACCAATATCTATGTAAATGATTTTATTATCTGAAATAATCCATGAAGAGTTTATAAAAATAATCATGTATGGTTTGATTTTAGACTGTCTCTAGTCTTTTCTGGACCTGCAAAGAATTTGGAAAACACATATAGTTGAACTTTCTTCATTTCTAAAGGAAGAATATGATAGTTGCTCCTTAGTCCTGTTTACATTTTCTCAGCTACTGCTGTCATATTGTGAGTTACAACACAGGTGCCCTTGACTTCATTTGCCAACACTAGAGAAATATACATATAATCTACTATTTATGATTGATGCAAGCTGACATCCTTACCTATAACTCCATGTCTTCCATGAACTAAGATATACCATGCCAGCTATTGTTCAGATTTTTCTTTTGCTCTCCCCAATTAGCTCTCTTAATTGTGCCTTTTTTGCTGTGTACATTCTATGCAGAAACCAAGAATGAAGACTGTTCCTACTCAACCTTCTGAGGTAGATGGTCACCACCAAGGTCCCAAACAAGTGATGGTGTTAAAAGCAACAAAACCATTTACATATGACAGTAAAGGCGAGAGAAGTATGTTCCATGCCACAGTGGCCACGGAGACTGAATTCTTTAGAGTGAAGGTGTTTGATATTTTCCTGAGGGAGAAGTTCATACAAAACAAGGTCATTACCATCTCAGATTATGTCGGTCGCAATGGGTTCATAAATATTTACAGTGCCTCCAGTGTGTCAGAGGTAAATAGTAACCAATCAATGAATATCTCAACTACACTGAGGCAAAGAGCCAATGCAACACCTAAAATCAACTATCTTTGCTCAAAAAGAAGAGGAATATTTGTGAATGGAATCTTTAAGGTATATAAGGTAAGCCACTGCATTATTCTTCTGTAGTCTCAGATTTTCAGGCTTATCTTGGCAGTTTATGATGGTTAATTTACTGTATGCCAAAAATCAAGACCTCCTTGATCACTGTTGGGGACTAGGGTTTCCTGCTTTAACGTGTGAAATGCAGTCTCAATATACTTCTCAGGTACCATAAGGAAAACTGTTTTAGAAAGAGATTTGCCAAGAGATTCTGGCATTTTTTTCAAGCAATGCCATCTATTTGTGCCATTCATAAACAGTTACATTAATACTCATATCATTAAGATTTTGCTTCTTTGGGTTCTTCACATACTGCATTTTTGAAAATTTGGTGTTGAATGACACTTGACTGCCAAAGACAGGCATGGGTTTTAACAACCAGAATACAAACTGGAAGGTTTTCAGACTTGGGTATTTCTTTCAGATAAGCTTAGGTTTAGATGGGATAGATGTTTGAGACATTTTGTTCATTGACACAGTTAGTTTTGTTTTAAGTTTAAATATCTTCTTTAGACTAAAAGGGGAATTGTAGGAAGAGACTTTAGACTGTGCTACTAGGCACATGCAGATGTGGTAATGAAAGGGCGGTGAACTACGCCTCTAGCCACGCCCAAGTGGACATGGCTAGTGGCACAGTCCTAAAGTCTCTTCCTACAATAAGCCAAAGTGAACTCTTCTGCCCCAGATTGCACAGGATCAGGAAAGCTGGGCTCTTCCCTTCTTTCTATCTGTTAGGAATAGTAACAGTAAAGGAATTTCTCAGCAGTAGCAGAGTTGATGGCGTTGCCTATGAGAGTGAGGGCAAGTAAAAGCTTCCCTCTTCCGGGTCCTTTTCTGTATGCTGGCATCAGGTGTGGCCCAGATTAAAAATGGGTCTCCTGACCTCAAATGATCTGGAATTAGTGTTAGTCTTCCCAGCTCAAATTATCCAATCAAGAATAATCCCCCACCTATGTGTCCAGATGCTCAGGTTTTTGTTGACTGCAGGTATGGTCAAGTTGACAACCAAGATTAGCTGCCACAGTCTATAATAAAGCTTGAAAAAGGCTTACAAATAAGGATTTGCAACACAGAGTATCTGAAGCCGTTTTGCCTACCACCCTCACCCCAGGTCTTAACTGATAGCTCCATTTTTACAGGCTGAAAAGATTCTGGGGACATCCTTTGCTTTTCATAGATGTGACCGTGTCTGGCCATTTCTCAGAAGATGGGTATTACTTTCTTTTACAGAAAAATGAGAATAAGGACAGCATTTTCTATGAAATCCAAGATAATACAGGGATGATGGAGGTGGTGGTCTGTGGACGACTGACCAGTGTTGACTGTAACCCAGGAGATAAACTTAAACTCCTGTGCTTTGAATTGACATCAGATGAGGATAAAGTGCAGCTGAGATCTACCAGGCACAGTAACATGAAGGTACATGTTCCAGGGGAACATCTTCCTTTCCAAGAATCTTGCTTTTGATATTATACTAAAACAGATACTGGTATTGCAGAGATAATTCAACATGTGGAAGGAAACAAGTTTTCAGTTATTATGTGTAAATGTTCCTTTCCATCCTTTAAAATACGAAACTTTTAATCATAGAAAAGAATGGAACTTCAGAACACTTCTCTGAAGTCATTATGTTATTGGCAGGGTATGGTGCCTCACTCCTTTAATTCCACTACTCAGGAGATTGAGGCAGATGGATGCATGTCTGTGAGTTGGAGGCTAGCCTGGTTCACACAATGAGTTCTAAGCCAGCCCAGTTCCAAAACAGCCAGCTATTTTGCCGTGTGTTAAGTAATGAAAGCACTGAGCTTATTAAAGCAGAGAGATTATCCAGTAAGAATATGGTTTTGATTAAGAGATGTGTTTCAAATTCTGACTCTGTGGTTTTTTGAAGGTCTTCATCGACAACATAGAAATAACGTCCATCACTGAGGTTCATAAGCAGAACTCACAACACATATATGCTTACAAGGATACCTGGAGCAAATTAGACCACAAAGATACCAGAATCCATGTTCTTGTCATGCTGACACACACACAAATCCCTGCAGGATTTATTATATATTAAAGCAATTCTAAGATTGTAGTGGAAACAAATGAAATATATAGACTGACCTCCTAAGTCATACAGTAATGTTATTAGAGACCCCCAGTTCTCAGGACCACCATCAATATTCTAAACTATCCTCACAGTGGCTGTACCAGGCATGCATTTTGCAGTCTTCCTGCCCTCCTGACCAAGGAGAACGTTCCACTCAACCCTTGTCATTAAGTATTGCACCTCCTTCTCTCCCATGGCTCCATGACACCTCAGGCTCTTCCACCTTCACTCATGCTGGGTAGGAGTAAAGAGTTCATGTGGTAGTCTCAAGCAAAGATGAAAATCTGGCTGCAGGGACAGAAGTTCATTAAAAGAAGCAGGCAATGATGAAAAACTAGGGGTGGCTTGTAGAAGTAAGACAATGGGAGTAATGGGGGTAGGGTGTGACCAGCTCCATCAAAGCCGATCTGATCTGATATCTTCACTTCCTTCTTCAAGGTCATCAAGGGTAGGAATTGAGAAACAACTGCTCTATCCTGCTTCAGTTATGAGACTTCATGAATTCTCATTATGGAGACTTGGACACCTCTGATGCTTGTAGTGATAAGATCCAGTTCCAACTACAGAAAAAGGTCATGGGTATAACAGATAGAGGTCACTTCTTTGCTCTAGGAACTGGTGATTTTAATCTTTCTATACTTTTCGTATTTTAATTATGTGATTTGATTTTATAATGCTTATACTTTGAAAGGAAAAACATTTTAATCTGAATCAAGTACTTCTACAAATTCTTCCAGTTGTTACTTGCTTTAAAACTGGGTCTGCACACCAGACGGTGATAAGATATCGTTTATGATTTCTTAAAGCTTACCTGAGGATTCAGAAAGCAAAGGAGCCAGCAACTAGCTCTCACCTCTAGCTCAGGCTGAAAGAGATGATCCGCACATGAGTTCTTCACCAACTCTCAAATTGCTGCCTGTCTTTAGTATGGCTGGAGAATGAATGCCTCTCTGAGACCTTGCATCTGTCCTATATACTTCCCTAATGTTGAGATTAAAGGTATGAGCTATAATTCTCTTTTAGATTGATTCACTCTTGTGTAGATCTACATGGTCTTGGACTCACAGAGATCCGTCTACCTCTCAATCCTGAGTCCTAGTATTAAAGGTGTATACTACCATCTCCTAGCTTCTGGCTGCTAGGATTAAATGTGTGTACCTGGCTTCTATGACCTGTGATTGACTTTGCTTTCTGAATCCTCAAGGAAGCTTTCATAAATCATAAACAATATCTCACCACACCAAGCCATTACTGGAAGGACGTCAATACTGCGCCAGAAAACCCACAGCAACATGACCACAATGGTGATCAGAACCCAGACACAACTACTCTGAGGGAGGGGGCTTGCTTGCCATGTGGAGCACAGTATCCCCCAGTATAGTTTATTTGTTCTGAAGTTGAACTCTGTTGTAGATTTGTGTAAAAGTACATTCATTTTTCAAAATAAAGATTCTCATGTCTTGTAAAAATAAAAACTGGGTGTGTATATGATCACTCCTGTTCCCATCCCCACTCACATCCAGAACCCTCCTCCATCCACCTGTGATGTCTATTCTATTTCCCCTCCACAGTGAGATTCATGTGTTCCCCAGTTGAGCCCTGCTTGATACTTGGCTTCTCTGGGTCTGTAGATTATAGCATGGCTGCCCTTTAGTTTACAGCTAATACTACTTATAAGTGAGACATAGTTGTCTTTCTGAGTCTGGGTTACCTCACTCAGAATGCTCTTTTCTAGTTCCATCCATTTGTCAAAAGATTTCATGATGTCATTGCTTTTAACAGCTGGTTAATACTCTATTGTGTAAATGTACATTCTTTGGTTGAGGGACTTCTAGGTAATTTCCAATGTCTGGCTATTATAAACAGAGCTGCTATGAACATAGTTGAGCAAGTGTCCTTGTGGTATACTGGAGTGTCCTCTAGGTATATGCCCAGGTTCTGGGAGGATAGAGGGAAAAACAACTGGAATTGGGGGACATCTCTAATAGTTTGGGAAAAAAGGGACCCAAAAAGCAATGAAACTATTAGGAAGTATAGCTTTGTTAGAGTAGGAGTGTGATGGTCCTGTATGCTGTGAGTATGCGTCTCTTATTGATTAATGGATAAAACACTGATTGGCCAGTAGCCAGGAAGGAAGTATAGGCAGGTTACTAGACTAGGAATGCTGGGAAGAGGAACACAGAGGGAGAATCACAAGGGAGACAACATGTAGCCACCAAAGTTGTAACAGGTCCGGGTTCACACTATAAGCTACCCCAATTAAATGTTTTCCTTTATAAGAGTTTCCATGGTCATAGTGTCTGTTCACAGCAACAGACACCCTAACTAAGACACCTAGTGCAGTGTAAACTCCCAAGAATCTGTGAGCATAACCCTAGCTAAGACTGAACTGGTCATCTCCTTTTACCAGGCAAGACTTCCAGTGGAAGGACTGAGATGCCAACATAGGCAAAAACCTTCAACCTACAATTTTTCCTGCCTACAAGATATGTTGTGGTAAAGATGAAGAAGAAATTGTGGGAGTGGCCAACTAATAACCGGTCCAGCTCAAGACCCATACCATGAGAGGGATCTCACTCCTGACACTGCCTGGAAAGCCAAAACCAAGAGGCAGGAGAGCCCAGAGACCTATGATAGAACCAAACATGACTGGAAAATAGAAGTCAACAAAATGGTTCCTAATGATATTCTGCTATACTAATCTAATAGATTTGTGCCTAACTCAATGGTCATAAGAGAGGCTTTACCTAGCAACTAATGAAAACAATGCAGAGACCAACATCCAAACATTAGGCAGAGTACAGGGAATCCTATGGAAGAAAGAAAAAAAGAATTGTAAGAGCCAGAGGGGTTAAGGACACCTCAAGAAAACCCACAGAATCAACAAATCTGGGCTCATAGAACCTAATAGAGACTGAACCAACAACCAGGGAGTCTGCATGGGACAGACTTGGGACCTCTACATAAATGTTACAGTTGAGTAGCTTTGTTTTCTTTTGGAACTCCTAACAATGGAAGTAGGGGTTGTCTCTGACTTTGTTGCCTGCTTTTGGGACCCTTTCCACCTGACAGATTTTCTCACCCAGCCTCAATAAAAGAGGAGGTGCTGAGTCTCACTGCAACTTGATATACCCTGGCTGGTTGATATCCATGGGAAGAGAAATGGGGGAGGAATGAATGGGAGGGAGGGTGGGGGAAAGAACTGGGAGGAGAGGAAAGGAAGGAAAACTTAAATAAGGATGTAAAAACAAAAACAAACAAACAAATAGATAGATAAATACACAAACAGTTGGGTCTGCAGATCAGGGTGGTGTAAAGATGTTTCATGAAATACTTATACTTTGGGTGTGGTATTTAAGGACAAAGCCTTGCTCATAAAGAAATAGACTGTCACCCTCAGAGAAATGAAACTATCAATAAAAAGCAGGTAGATGCTGAAATCCAGTCCAGAATGCAATTCCCAAGACCAATGTCCTCAGAAAAGGGTGAAATACTTTCTACACTTTTTCATAAATATGACTATAATATGGAGTTTACTCATTTGAAATAAGAACTTCCAAAAGTGGATGGTAAGAATACACTGTGCTATTGGCAGCAGTGAGGAAATGTTACCTCCAATTACAGGGTGAAATAAGGTCATGGAACGCTTGAGAACACAAGGAACATGTCCTAGACCAAAGCAAATGAATTAAGAGTCGAATCATTAAACTCAAAGAAGGCTCCCTGCATTGTTGGTTACCTTTCTCCTTGCTGTGATAACATACCTAGCAAAAGCAACTGAAGGAAATCAAGGTTTGTTTTTGCTCACAGTCTAATTTTAGAGGATGGTGAGGTGGCTGATCATAGGAGTTTGCAAGAGGAACTGGAGACTGGTATGTGCTGTTGGGGAGCTCTCTCTGTGTCTCTGTTTCTGTTTCTCTCTCTCTCTCACTCACACACACACACACACACACACACACACACACACAAACACATTTTGCAAGACATTTTCTCTGTGTAGCTTTGGAGCCTGTCCTAGAATTCACTCTGTAGACCAGGCTGGCCTCAAACTCACAGAGATCTGCCTGCTTCTGCCTCCGGTGTGCTAGGAATAAAGGCATGTGCCACCACCAACAGGCCTCTCTTTCATTCTTTTTTTTAATATTCAGGCTACAGCCTTTGCAGGTAGAATGTTACCACCACATTTGGGCTGATTTACAAAATAAAAACTCCTTCCAAACATTGCCAGAGTATTACCTCCTCAGTGATTCTAGATCCTGATATATTTATAATCAGTATCAATAATCTGGGCAATTACTTAACACAGAGGAAAGGCACAATGAAAGGGTAGAAATAGGATATATAAAGAGATAAGAGCTAAAGATGAATACTTCCATCCCCTTGGAAATTTATGTGGTAAACATTCCCTAGTCCAGTAATGTTGGAAAGTGGAGATTAACGGGTTGCATTTAGGTCATGAGGGCTTGATCAGTTCTCATAAATTAATTGATACCACTACAAAAATGTTTATTTTTCTTCAATATATGTTTTATTTAAATTAGAAACATGAATGCTTCACATGTCAATCCCAGCTCCCTCTCACACCCCTGCTCCCTTGTCCCTCCACCAGACCCCCAGACCCCTACCCAATCCCCACATCATTCTCCAGTGAGAGTGAGGCCCTCCTTGGGGGGGATCTCCAATGTCTGTCATTTAATCCAGGGCAGGACCTAGGCCCTTCCCCATGTGTCCTGGCTGAGAGAGTATCTCTCTATTTGGAATGGGCTCCCAAAGATCACTCATACACTGTGGTATAAACTGATCTACTACACAAGACCCCAGTGATTTCTGTGGCCTCCTCACTGACACTACATTCATGGAGTCTGGATCAGTGCCCTGTTGGCCTCTCAGCCATCAGTCTGGGATTCAAGAGCTCCCCCTTATCTGGTCAGCTGTCTTTGTGGGTTTCACCATCATGGCCTTGACCCCTTTGCTCATCACTCCTCCATCTCTGTCACTGGGTTCCAGGAGTTCAATTCAGTGTTTAGCTGTGGGTATCTGTCTCTGCGTCCATCAGTCACTGGATGAAGGTTCTAGGGTGGCATATAAGGTAGTCATCAACCTTATCATCAAGGAGGGGCTATTAATGTAGTCTCTCAACTATTGCTTAGTTTGCTAGTTGGTGTTATCCTTGTAGATCTCTGGAGATCTCACTAGTGTCTCTCTCCTCAAGCCTATAATGATTCAATCTATTATGGTATCTCTCATCCTACTCTCCTCTATTCTTACCTCGACTCAACCTGCCTGCTCCCCCATGCCTTCTTATCCACCTCTCTTTTTTACTGGCTCCTTCTCCCTTCCCCCGATGTTCCCAATCTGCTCAGGAGATCTTGCCTCATTCCACTTCTCTGGGGTATCATCTCTCTTGGGAACCTCCCTGTTTCCCAGACTCATTGGCACTGGGATTGTAGGCTGACACTCCCCTGATCCATATCTAAAATCCATATGTGTTCCTGAGAACCAATTTCCTGAGGTTTTTTGTACTACTATTACATGAGAATGAATCAATCAAGCATAGGGTATAGTTTAACAACTTGGGACTCCACTTGGCTTGTGCTTTACACACACCCCTCTTCTAACAATGCATTGGCAGTTTCAGAGCCTTTCCTGCACATACTGTGCAAGCAAACCCCTCTGTGAACAACACACCTATAAACCATTTGGCAACCTAGAACCTCCAAGTGCATCAGGCATCAGATATATGTGCTTTCTTAGCAATTCTTTAGTGATACATATCCCAGAATATGTCCTGAAACTAAAAGAGATAGCCTGATTCAGTCCAGACTGGTTTGGATATATGTACAATGAAACTAACTGTGTCCTATTTACCATCTTATGCATATATATATAATTGAGTATGCATGAAATTTATATTATGTGTATCATGAAAAGGGACATTTGCAGTGAACAAAATCCTATTGAACCCAAGCCTGTCAATCAAAATAGAGAATCACCTGTGCTGTATCCCTTGGA